TGTTTATGTCACTGTTGGTTCCCCGAGACTCGGAACGGGCATCAAACGGACCGACCCACTGACTTTTCCCGACATGCGGGAGGGTGATGCTCAAGCTGGAGCCCGAGGTTCTCATCAGCCGCTGCGTCGGGTACTCGGAAAGTGAGCGCAGCAAGAGACGAGGGGCGAGGAACAGCATCGAGGGCGGCCCGGAGACGCGCAGACTCAGAGATCCATAGGCTCGTTTACATGCTACAGCCTGCTGAGCGAGCTTTCTGCGCAGAAGCGGACCGAGTCCGCGCGCCCCCGAGACGGCGGTAGCGACCAGCCGGCTAGCTCCGAGTAGCGGCGGCTGGGCGGGGGTGGCAGCCGTGCGGCCCCCGCGCGCGGAGTGCGTGGACGGAGCGCTGCCAGTGTGCCAATGCGCAGGGAGCTGCTGGTGAACTTGATGGCGCAGGGAAAGGCGGACGTGCAGATGTCACGCGGGCACCCACGCAGACACTGACACACATGCTGGCAACAAACCACAGCATGCATGGCACACGTCGAACGGAGACACACAAGCCCAACAGCAGATGGTTGTGCACAGAGGCAGGCAGCAAGACAGACACACAGACAACACAGACAACACAGACACACATGACAGTTAGGACTGACGGAGCAGGCAGGACAGGCAGGACGAGCATGATCCACAAGGCGTGTGAAACATTTGGCTGTCCGCCTCACCTTTTCCTCCTCCCCGGTCCAAATTGCCATTAGAAAGGGGGGAGCACGAGCTCGTCAACGCACCCCCGGTGCCCTCGCAGCCTCGAACTCCACCCTCAGTGGCCCCCATGATGCCCCAAATGCCTTATCATATGGCTCCAGAAGGGCTCAAACACGCTGGAAAGGCCTCAAGCATCCCCAATATGGCCTCGAGACGGCCCAACACGCCCCAAGAGGGCTCCAAGAGAAACCCCAAGAGGCCATCACGAGGCAGCAACCATTGATCTTCCATTCGTGATTCAGCAACGTTCGCGCTATCGATGTGCCTCGGCAAGGCAAGGCAAGGCGGTCTGCATGCCAGCTCCGGTGCCGGAGCGGTCCCCTGGAGGGCAGACGAATGATCTCGCGCAGGAACGGCCAACCGCCGCGTGGGCGATCTCTCATCCACCCATAGGCGACAACGTGTGCAACGCGACAGAAACAACAAGAGGGGCGAGGGAGGGTGGGAGGGGGGGGAAGGGGAGGGTAGGCGAGGGATGTGCCTCGGGCTTCTGAAAAATCCGGAACGGAAGAGACCCCGGAGACGGCCCAGCAGAGTCCTCGGACGGCCCAGGGAAGCACGGCCCTGAGAGGGGGAACCCGCAGGGGGCCCTGGGAGCGCTCCCCACCCAAAGCATGGCCCCGACGACCCCGAGCATGCCCCGACAAATCTCCCAGGAAGCCAGCAAAGGGGGGCCCACAAGAGCCTGGAACCGGCTCCACGAGGCCGCCGCCCCCCCCCTGGGCCTCGAAGAGGCCCCGAAGACGCCCCGCAAGAGGTGCGGAGGAAGACGAGACCGAATCGGCAGCAACGATGCACAGGCAGCACGGCGGAAGGTTTCAAACACGCCTACGAACTCCGAAGCCGCGCAAATCCTCTTCGGAGGGTCAGCTGAATGGCGTAGGCATCTTGAAGAAAGCGCAGCATCGCAAGCAGCCCTTTGTGCTCATCTTCCCGAAGGCCCAAGACAGCCCCAAGACGGCCCACGATGGCCTAAAGAGGGTCCAAGAGTCTCCTCAGACGGCCCCGGAGAGCCACAAGGAGGCCCCCAAGAGCTCCTGCAGAGGCCCCCAAAAATGTAGTCCGATGAGTTTTGCAGCATTTCCGCGGTCTCGTCTTTTTCGATTCCCGGGGGCCCATGACGGCCCAAGCAGCCTCCAAGATGGCCCCGAGACGGTCCCAGAGGCCCCCATGAGGGCCCCAAACCGGCCCAGGAGGGCCCCAAGATGGCCCACAGAGGGGCCTAAGAAGGCTCAAGAGGCCCCCAAGACGGCCAAAGAGGATCCCAAGACGGCCACAAGGCAGCCCCGAGAGACCCCCAAGACGGCCTCCGAAGGGGCCAGACAGCGCAAGAGCTCCCCAAGACGGCCGCCGAGGCACCTAAGAGGCCCCACAAGGCCCCAATTGGCCCCCCAAGAGGCTTCCAGGGGCCCCCGAGAAGCCTCCAACATGCCCCAAAGAAGCTCCCAAACGGCCCAAAGCAACAACCAAGAGGCCCGCGGAATTGTATACGAATGGCCCGTTGTTGCTGTGGTCATCGGAATTTGAACTTGGCGTTGGCTTGTGCTGACACGGGGTGAATGCCCATTGCCCTCGTGGGCATTCGCCAGCTCGTCCCGGCGCTGAAACCAAGAGGGGGAGGCGCATCCGCCCCTGGTGGCGCTAGCAGCGCCCGGCTTGCGGGCACAACATCGCGGCAGAACTCCCCGGCAGACGAACAAGACAAACCACCCAACGCAGTCTTAACGTGTTTCGGACGTGCACCCCTCGAAGCGAGAGGAATAAAGCGCAGCATCGCAAGCAGCCTTTTGTGTTCATATTGGTTGTGCTGACTTGTGGTCTGACATCCATAGTTGCCCTCAGTTGGTGCATTTTGGTATGAAAAGCTGTTCAAGGTTCGTTCAGTCCCCTCAAACCTGTACGTACCCTACCCCTTCTGTATCTGATCACCTACCTGCTCGCTCAAACCTGTACGTACCCTACCCCTTCTGTATCTGATCACCTACCTGCTCGCCGGTTCGAGCCAAATCCACGCGGCACTTCCCCTCTCCCCCTCAATGTCGATGATTCAAAGTTCAAAGATGGGGTCCTGAGGGATGGGGTCCCAAGGATAGGAAGGGATCCGAAAGTGCATGCTTTGGATCATCTCGTCCTGAGGACACCATCCCTCAGGACCCCGTCTTTGAACCATCGACCAAGTCTGCACACCGCGTTCGGGGACCTTCTGACCCGGGTCAATCCAGACCCGAGTCAGTCAGACCTTGCAGGATCCTGCAAGATCCTGCCGCCCAAGCCCGGGTAGGTGCGCCCCTGGCTCTGCAGGATCCTGCAAGATCCAGCGCTCTGATCGACCACCGTTTGCATTGAACCACGTGTCTTGAGCCCCGACTCTTCTGGTCGCCGATGATCCCGCCCCAGAAGAGCAGCAGACGCCGCGCCTCTCGGGCTCCCGGTCCGGCCACCACACCACCGGCTTCTCGCCTCTGGACGACACGCCAGGCCGCTCCCAGAGATCATCGCCTCCGCGAGGCCAGGAGAATAGAGGACGAAAATCTGCATGAACATGAACTTTCGAAGCTCCGCGCGGATTCTTAGACCTGCGCTGGGCTCCCCTGGCGGCGCCTCCAGCGCCGGCCTGGCGCGCTCCGCGCGCCAGGGAAGGGGTCCAGTGCAGATCCAAGGAATCCGCGCGGAGCTGGAAAAGTTGATGTCATGCCGTGCTTCTTCTTCGAGCATGGAGGGGCAGGGTGGGGACGCATGAGGGTATGGAGGTGGGGGCGGAGGACACGAGGAACACGACGAACGCCACAGTCAGTGGGAAAATGAACAAAAGACAAACGAGGCGGGGGATAGAGTACAAGGGAGCGGGGAGAGGGGAAGGGGAGGGAGGGCCCCCTGCACATTCATCCCCACGGCCACCCACTATCATACGAATATGGTCAGGAAGAGTCGCGAATCCGACGCGCACTGTGCTGCCGTTGTGCCGCCTCAGGGTCTAGCCTCCAAGACTTATGCTGTGTATCGGCGTGGCCTATGTCACCCGTAGAGGTGGCATGGTCATAATTGAATGACGCCGACAGAATTGAGCACATGCTATAGGTAGGTGAAACCTTGACGCCTTGAGAGACGTTCTGCAAGGTGCTGGAGGCGTGATCCATCATCGCGCTGTTCTGCGATCGATGTGTATGTGTGGTCGTCGCTTGAGGGCACAGCCGCGCGCGCCCGCTACGCCGCTGCGAGTCACTCTGCCTCGTCGCCGCGCACGAGGCCGCTACCGCCTAAAAGTATGCGTGGTTGTTGCTGTGTGTGCTCCTATGTGTTTGTCTGTGCCTGTGTGTTTGTGTTGGTGTGCGAATGCTTGTGTGAGTGTGTGTGTGTGTGCGTGTGTGTGTGTTCGTGTGTTTGTGTGTGTGTGTGTGTCCTGCAATTGCCGTCTTGATTCGCGTCAGACGCCTGACCGATCTACTGTATTACTCGTCTGCCTTTTCCCCACTGGCTCGCACTGGCCTGCCCCTGCGTAATCTGCGAGGACACCGCGGCTGCTCGAGCGCAGGCGTCAAACGCACGCTTGCAACCCGCATCGGCGCGTCCCGCTCGCGCTTCGCCAACAGCTGCAACGCCGAATGTCTGTGTGTGTGTGATTGGGCGATTTCTGGCGGCCGCGGGTCGGTCTGCTATCTTTGCTGGCACTGCCCATCCGATGACGATGACGAAGACAATGACGATGATGATGACGATGATGACGATGACGATGATCGTATGATGATGATAATGATGCTGATGATGATGATGATGATGATGATGATGATGATGATGCTGACGATGATCGTCATCATAATCATCGTCATCATCGCCATCATCTCATCATCGTCATCGTAATCGTCATCACTTGCCTCTCGTCTTGGCTGTCAGCCTCACTGCGCACCCTCCTGGACGAGAAGGACAAGGAGGAGAAAGACACCCCCCACCTTCAGCTGAGCGGTACTGCATTGCGTCCGAGCCTTGGCTGGCGCTGCAGGTCAGGAAATTGAAGACCGAGAGTCGTGAGGTTGAGAACCATGGGAGATGTCAGGATACCCCCCTCTGTACAATCATCCTCGCCCTTCCTCCATCATGTCAGCCACTCATACTCTTACCGTTGCACCGACGCGTGGGATACCGCCATCAGATGACGTCGCGGGAAACAGGCGCATGGCCTCGTGCCCTGGAGCAGCCTTCCGCTACCCGTGAGATGCGGGGCTGGAGCCCTTGGCTGAGGCGGGTCTTGGTCCGCCCTGGCCCGTCGCGCCGCCGATCAAGCCTACAGCACGATTCTCCCCGATGGCCTGACTGGCCAGCGGCCTGCTGTCTGCCAGCTGCGCTGTGACAACGGCCGCACTCGCGGGCGGCGGACACATCCGTATCTGCGTCCTCGCGGTCTGGGCTCGGGGGCGCGATCCCGCGGACACGCGGTCGCACGGGTACGTTCCGCGCGGGGCATCCGCGAAACAACGCCCCGTGTCCGCGGGGTCGCGGCCCAGGGGCCCGGCCCGCGAGGTCGCGGATACGGATGTGCGCTGTGCCCGCGACATATGCAGATGATTCGGCATGGAGACTTGCCTGCTAGATAAAGACAGCTTAGGACAGGACAGCAACGGACCATGTCCACGGCCAAAGATATCGGTGGCCAGGGAAGAAGAACTAGATGAGGCTGCGGGAGCCACGATCTACACCCTCGAGGCTTCGGATCGGCTACAACATCTTAGAGGAATAGGACAACAATGTTTCCTGCAGAAGGGACGTCACGCTCCAGCGCCCCCAGTACCTTACGTGACTTGCCGTCAGCTGCTGGCCAAGCTTCGGGCGGACAAGCCCTGCCCCCTTGGCGGACAGCAGGAGCCCAACCCATTGTCATCGCCTCGGTGCCTGGGGCAATTCTCCGCCAGAGCTCAGGAGAAGAGGAGGCGGGAGGAGGATGAGCAGGTTGAAGAGTCGGCGGGAGGAGAACAAGGAGGGGGAGAAGGCGTAGGAGAAGGAGGAGATGAGAAGGGAGGGTCATCGGGGACCAGCCTCAAGTCGAGGATGGGCCGGCACACCTAAAAGGGATGTGCTGCCTACCGCAGGCGCCGGCCAGGGCGGACAAGTCCTGCCTTCCTCCTGCGAATAACAAAAGCAAGCATTTTCACCTTTGTTCATCAGCGATCTGCTAGGGCTTGAACGGTTTGGATCAAAACCGGTGATGTGCGGGGGGTCGCCTCGCGTCGCCTCGCAGAGCCACACCGCTCGAGTCGGCAGTAGAAGACCTTGCCGCCGCCGCCGTCTCGCGGGCTTGAACTCTCGCCGCCAGCGCCAACATTCCTTCAGTCTGCACTAGACCGCTGACACCTGTAACAGGCAAGCTGACATCAGGAGGAGGCGGCAGCGTTGCAGCATCGAGCAAGTACGCTGCGCCTCGGCTGGAGGCCTCTCTCACCGTGGAAGTTTCACGGTAGAGAGTGTACAAACCTGAACAAAATTCTGCGAAATGTGGTCGGAGCAGCAGGAGAGCTTGCGTTGCTGGCGTTCCAATCCGGGAACATAACATCTGGCGAACGCACTGTGCAGAAGAAGAGCGGCTTATCCTCTTCTCCTTTTCTGCACCACCGGCGGGCAAGGCTACGACCGAGAGAACAATCAAGCACGCCCTTCCAGGTCTTACTGGGGCCTCGACAAACTAACAGGGGGTGTCTGTGAGGTCCATGGAGAGGTGGAGGCAATGTAAGCAGCGCGTGCGACCGCTGCCTACCTCTTCCCAGTGGCGCCAACCACCCGAGCGTAAAAATTCGTCCCTGGGATCCACAGACGCCCTGTCAAAACTTTCCTGAGGGAATCCGCTCAAAACTTTATCCATAACTTTAACTGCGGGCAGGAGCAACTCACATTTCCTTCCCACCTCACACACATTTCGTTGAGGGAAGGTTGGGGTGGTCGAAGAGAGCAGCCTGGGCCTCGGCATTCCAATTTGTGATGTCGAATCGCTTCTCTGCCTGACCGGAGAGCTGGTCCAGCACTTTGCGCGCTCTGTGTGCGGTTGTGTACGGGGAGGAGGAGGGGGAGGAGGACAAGGAGGAGGAGGAGGAAGAGGACGAGGAGGAGGAGGAGGAAGAGGAGGAGAGGACGAGACAGGGGTAGTCAAACGAGCGTGGTTAGTAGAAGCGCCACCGCGTGCCTAAAAGCTGCCCCCGCTCGGACGCAACGTATTCACCCAAACGCGGCAGGACCTTTTCCCGCCCACGAGCCAAAGCTGCCCAGCGCGCAGACTCAGAATACTGACAGAAGGTCCCCACGCGCCCGTGTAGGGCAGGCCCCCGTTTCGGAGGGCAATACATTGTCCCCATACCAGCGCATGAACTCCGCACTGCGCATCCCCGACTGCCAATACGATTCAAAGAGTCGCCAGGCAAACCGAGTGCAACCCACGAGCCAGCGCAGGGGGACCGGGGGAGGGGATCATTCGTTACTTTTCACACGCTCGCTCTCACAGGCCATGGTTCACCCCACGACTTTGCCTGTTAAGCGGCAGATTGCGTAGAGGCCCACTCCGCACGACACGACTTCTTCCTGTGAGGCAGGCAAAGTAGAGGCCTCCTAGACGGGGTCGGAGTAGATGGGGTCGGAGGATCGCGCCACATCGCCGATACATCGGCGATGCATCGGCGATGCGTCGGCGATGCATCGGCGATGCACCGGCCATGCATCGGCGACGTCGATGGTGCATCGGCGACGCCGGCGTGGACAAAATCGGGCTTCACATCGAGCCGTATCGGCGATGCATCGGCGATGCATCGGCGATGCGGCGCAATCCTCCGACCCCACCTACTCCGACCCCATCTAGGAGGCCAAGAACAAAGAGAGGCAAGCAAATCGTCTGGCGTCCGCGGCGCGCAGAAGCCGCCGCCGTGCGGGTGGGTGGCGAGGAGCGTGCCCACCGCGCTGCAGCTTGCCGGGGGTGCTCGGTGGAGCTCCGGGTGTGAGTATAGTTTAACCGATCCCCATCCCCAGCGGCGTGGCCTGGGCCACACTGGCCGATTTACTCCCCTAGATGGGGATATAGGTCGTTCCCTTCAGGTTTCGAAGGGTGTATCCACAACTGGGGTGGTAATTTGGTGGGGGTCTCGAAGAGGATGGGGCTGGGGATGGGGATTGGTTAAACGGTACCGAGTGTGGCCCCCGCAGCGGAGAGGGGTGCTGGCCGCTCGGTTGAAAGCGCTGCCGGGTGCCCCAGCCCGTCGTCAGAGCACAGCCGAGGGCAACCGGCACCCGAGGTGCTGCGCGGCGGGCTAGGACGTGCAAGACCTGCCGCGCTCGGCTCAGCCGCCGGCCGGGGAGGACGACCGGCTGCCATCTGTCCGGCCTCCTGCGAGGTGCCGCCTGGCCTTGCCCCGGCAGCCTGCCGCCAGCAGATTCGCCATCGTGCCGAACTCGCAGAGCGATGTGTTGCTTCCCCCTGCCCTGACCTCCCCTCGCACCTCCCCTCCATCATCCCCTCCATCCCTGCCCTGGAAATTCACAGATGAAGAAATCACGATGGGTATGCTGGGAGGGGTGGGGCAACATGATTTTGCGCCCATGCCCTATCGCGCATTGGCGCTGCTAGGGCAGCGGCCGTTGCACGCCAAGAAAATGTGAGGACACTTCGGGTCGAGAATTGGACCGCCAATGAAGTGCCGCGTGTACTCCTGCTGCCGATCGCAGATGATCATACCAGTCCCCTATCCATGACCCTCGCGACTTACATCTGCTCTATTCATTATGCCATCCCTCTTCCTTTTCCAGGAGGCGCTTTGCCTTTGACACTTGGTACGGGCGTAACTTGCGAACAGAGGATGAAGCCGAGGAGCCTCTCAAGCAGGTCCCAGTGGTACTAACCCTTATCTACACCATCACCATCAAACTCAAAAGTCAGAATGGCAAACGCTGTTAACAATGGCGGATCACAATGCTCGTCGTCCTCATCACCATGATTGGCAGCTTGCCAGCTTGGCCTACCTATCTGGATGCGCTCGACTAGTGTGAAGCAATGTGAAGCGCCTTGAGGCCATCAGAGGCCACTCCCTATCGCGACGGATACTCCTGGCCTCAATGTGTACAAAGCGTCCTCCGACGACATTAATAGATTCGGCTTGCTTTGAAATTACCCGGAACAGCTTGGACAATTGACGGTCGCTTTTGGGAATATTGTCGCGTGCGCTTTGCAACACACTCGATATCTTCAATACCGTGACGACGCTCGCTTTCACGATATTGTAGCTAACTGAGGGAGATGTAGGCATCAAGCTCCAGGAGACACAAGCCCAACGCGATCCACGCGAGGTGAGTCATCATCGTTTGGCCGACGTCCCCACTGCATGCGTGTGCTCCATGCTGTAGACCATCGGGTATCGACCAAGGACGGCATGCTTGGACGTGCCCCGCGCACGTGCCCCACGGAATACGCCCCGACTGAGCGAAACATACAACGCGGCACCTCGAAATGTGTGTGTTGGCGCGCGCGCAGACAGAACACAAATTACAGCGGCGAAGGGCCCAACCATATGCTGTTGTGAATGCCGCTGTTGTAATAACTGCCTTCGGCGGAGCCCCCTATGGGCACGAAGCGCGCGAAACGTGCGACGCAATGGGACGGAGCCGCCATGCGGGCGCTTCCGCTGGGTCCTTCGGTCGAGCTCCCTATGGGGCCACGCAGCGTGCGAGGGGCGTGCCAAAATAGACAGGGGGCGGCATGCGAACCATGCCACTGAGCCCTTCGGTGGGACTCTCTATGGGCCAACGAAACGTGCGACGGCGGTGCCAAAGTGGAAAGGGGGCGGCATGCGAACCATGCAACTCGGGCCGCCGGTGGGGCTCCCGATGGGCCGCGGAACTTCGAGGGGTGCGCCAAAGTGGCAGGGGGGCGGCATGCGAACCATACAACTGGTGGTCTTCGGTGGAGCCTGTTTTATGGGCCACGAAGCGTGCGAGGGGGGGGCCAAAGTAGAGGAGGGGGGCGGCACGCGAACCATGCCATTGTGGTGTTCGGTGGAGCCTTCTTTTATGGGGCCACGAAACTTGCGAGGGGCGTGCCAAGAGTGCTGGGGGTGACGGGGGCAGGAAAGAGGAGGAGGACGAGGAGAGAAGAAGAACAGGAAAAGGAGGCGCGGTGACTGTCTCTTCAAAACGAGGACCCAACGACACATGATGGTTGGGAAAATATAGGATCATCGCATTGCGAGTATCCAATGCGTCGTCGTCTGCGTGTACGAAGCAACTCAAGCGCACGTCGAGGCGCTGTCCACTTTCGCCGTGTGATTGTTTTGTGCCTTCAGACATAGCTACGGGCATACTCACGGGCCTGGAACGCACGCGTAAGCATTCGCGCGGATTGAACAATGGCCATTGGGATAAGCTCGCTCAGGCAACGCGCGGCCGCCACGAGCCGATTGGCAAGCGTGCGTCGAACGACACACAAGCCTATGTCGACGGGCTTATCCCCTCGCGCCAAAGCGGCGTCGCCGAATTTTCGCTATCCCGCATCCCCCAGACTAACAAATTCAATGGCTGAGCGCCGTGGCAATGCAGCAGGCACTCGGCAGCATTTTGCGCTCTCGCCTCGGCGCCTCGCACATGTTTTCAAACATGGCTTCCTCGAACCGGCGCCGAACACATTTACGGCAGCATCTGCGAGCAGTACTTTTGTCCATATCCATTGCAGTATGGAGTTTCGGGCTCCCTTCCCCAGAAGCCCGAGGCGCACTGGACATGGATGAACTTCCCCCCTGGAGGCACGATTTTTATCCATGTCCAGTGCACCTCGGCCTTGTGGCGCCCCTTCCAAAAAAATCGAAGGCGCACTGGAAATGGACATAAATCTTGCCCGCAGCATCTTGGCAGCGATTGGGGCCTCGCTGGGACTGCGGAGCAGGGCGTCTCCGTCAGGCTCACCAGGGCCTGCGCGCGGCGTCCGCCGTGTCCAGGGACTCTTTACAACGTATCCATTTTTAATACAGATTTCTTACGAAGGATTCATTTGGAAACACTCCTTCTTATGAACCCCGTCATACACATTCCTTAACACGTATTCCTTTGTAAAGAACCAGTGATACAAATCCCTTAAGAACGACTCCGAGTACAGATTCCTTCATCAAAACTCATTCGTTGAGAATCCTATGTAAAGGTTCCGTACTGCAGGTTCCTTCGTAAGGACCCCATTACTACAAACTCATCACTACGGATTCCTAAGCGAATGTTCCTTTAAAACGGTTCTGCCACACAGAATCCTCAGCAACAAATCGTGCGCAAAGATTCCTTAATCCAAGTTCCTTACCACGGATTAATTACGAAGGAATCCTTCGTGAAAGGTCATCAGTAAAGATTCCCTCGTACATATTCCTTGAAACATAATCATTGCGGCAGATTCCTCCGCAAGGGTTCGTAACGTAAGATTCCTTCAAGCATATTCCATATTCATGATCAAAGATTCCCTAATCCATATGCCTGACTAAAGACTCCTTATCAACGACGGATTCCCTCGCATGGGGTTGCGAAGTAAATATGCCTCATCAAGTTGTCCAGAATAAGGATTCCTGAGTCGGGGTTACGTGGCAAATATGCCTTTTTAAAAAAGGGTCCCTTTAACCAATGTACCTTGGCGAAGATTCCTGCTGACAAACTCCCAGTTATATGCCTTGATAAACACTCATTAATACATAGTCCCGCAGGCAAATTGCTTAATGAGAATCCCCACTACAGGTCCCTGGATTCATATTTCATCGTCGCGATTCTTTAGCAGGTATTCCTTGGTGGAGATTCCCTGCTAAGAACTCCTTAGTGGGGGTTCCTCACTAAGGATCCCTTCGTAACGACTCATTAGTAAATGTTCATTACCACGGATTCCTTGGTAAATGTTCTGTCGTAAAAATACCCCGTTACCCAGAATTCCTTGTGTCACGATTCCGCGCTAAGGGTTTCTCAATCACCACTCCTGATTAAAAAGGGTCCCTCCATAAAGATTCCATGCGAAGGAATTCTTGAAACAGATTTCTTGCCTCAGGACTCTTTTGTCACGATTCCTTATAATGATTCCTCCATGCAGACCCCATACTCAGGATTCCGTTTAAGAAGGAGTCCTTACAACAGGCTCCTTTTTTATAGATATTCCTTACGGAGGATTCCTCAATAAAGATTCCTCGGCCAGGATTCCTCAATGATAGTTTTCAATCAGGAATCCATGGTAATGGTTAATCTATGCCGAGCGTTACGTACCGATTCCACGCACTGGCAGGAGCAGGGCTACTCATTGCCAAGCACCACCAACTACGACCAACCAGCGCAAAGCAGTGGCAAGCACGGCCATTCAAAACAATCACCTCACACGAATGCCAAGCAACGCCAAGAATGGCCACGCACCCCCAAGCAACGCCAAGCACGACCAACCAATGTCAAGCACGCCCATCCAATGCCAAGCGTTACCCCGATCAATGCCAGGCAGTTACAAAAGCAGGACCACCCATTGCCAAGCACCGCCAACCATGATCAGCCAATGCCAAGGTCGACCAGTCGAAGTCACGCACAACCGCGACACGCTGAACAATGCCAAGCACGAGCAACCACTGCGAAGCAAAGTCGATCACGACGTTTCAATGCCAAACACAACCGGGCAACACCAAGCACAGCCAACCAATGCCATGCAGGACCACCCGACGGCAAGCAATCCCAAGCGTGACCAACCAATGCCAAGCAATGCCTCACCCGTTAGCGCTGGAGCATCTCATTGGCACCGGAGCACCCCCACAATTTACAGGGCGTCGTACCCGGGCTCCCCCACAGGAGCAACCAATCTGAAAAATATGCCGTCAAGGCCTCCGCAAGCGCGCCGCCGTCGACGAAAGAAAAAATGCAAGGGGCAGGCAAAAGGGGGGGAGGACCAGGAGGCCTAAGGGGCGCCGTAGGACATCGGAAACGGCGGTGGCGGGGCTGGCCCTCGAAACCGGCACCGGCGGCCTCGGAGAGGGGGGGGGGGGGGGGGAAATCCTCCATCCCCTCTCGGCGATTTCGCTCTCCCCCCCCCCCCAAGAGGCGCCACAGAAGGAGTGCGCATCACTGCCGTCCACGAGGGGGGGGGGGGAGGGGGGGAGGAACTCCGCCCCTTCCTCCTCCGCGTCGTTTCCTCCTGTCCCTTCGTGGCGGCCTCGGGGGGGGGATCACCCACCCGTCTTGGCGATTTGTCCCCCCCCCTCCCCCGAGAGGCGCCGCAGGAGGAAAGTGCATCACTGCCGTCCACGAGGGGGGAAGGGGGGAGGGGAGTTCCGTCTTTTCTCCTCCGCCTCCTCGCGTCCCTTCGCGGCGGTTTCGGAGAGGGGGGGGGACAACACAAATCATCAAACAAAACAACCCTCTTGGCGTTCCCCTCCCCAAGAGGCACCACAAGAGGAATGCGTAATACTGCCGCCCACGAAAGGGGGGAACTGTAGGGGAGCTCAGTCCTTCTCCTCCGCCTTCTCCTGTCTGTTCCTCCCTCTCCTTCTCTGCATCAGTACTCCCCTCGTCGGCCCCTCCTCCTTCGCATCGCCCCCCCTCGTCGCTCCCGCCTCCTTCGCCGTTGCCCTCCTCGCCTTCCCCTTCCCTTCCGCGCCCCCCAAAACCGCCACCTCAGGATCCCCCGTTCTGGGATTGCCACCGTCTACCGCCTGCCTGCCGAGCAGGGCTTCTGGGGGTAGGAAAAGGAAGCGTGGTGGCTTTGCGCTCTGCTTGGCAAGAAAGAGCGGCGGCGGCCAACGCTGTCACTTCAGAACAGAAGCACCATCTCGCTGCGCGGTTCGCCATCTGCTGTTGTAGTTGCAGCCGTCGTTTCGCGAAACATTGCCCGCTGCGCATAGGAGGGGCCTGGCACGCGCCAGGACACAACAACACGGCAGTACGGCAGTATGTAATTCGCGCCACCTGTTCACAAACGTCCAGTCTGCAGCACTGCTTCGCTAGAACGCCGCAAAGAAGCGGCCCGACGCAATTCGCATTTATCTTGCCAGCCGCATCGCTTTCAGCCTCGTTGCGGGCTTCTCGCCTGAGCCAGTGGTAAAACGTCTGTCAGGCACAAGCACTCGACTAAAACTGCAACATGGTGCTGTTGCGTGTCGCGCCCATCCCATTTCAGACGGGCTGGTTGTGGCCACTGTTTGTCCTTATTATTCTTCGCCGCCGCCGCTTGCACCTGGCACATAGGACCCCACGTACCATCCACGTGCCGCGCGTCTCTTTTTCGCCACACGCGCTGGTACCAGGAGCGACATCAGCAACCCAAGCTCCAGCGTCGCGGCACGCGATGGCACGTGGTAGGTAACGGCACGGCACGCGGTCCGCACTTCGGCGGCGCGCGGGCAGCATGCGTGGGCGCGCGCACGCGGGGGTCGCTGCACGTGCCGAGCGCTTAGTGCATCGATCCTGGCACCAACTTGCTCTTAAACCCTAAGAGCAACAACGAACGTCGAGCTAAAGCCGACTGAAGGCTGCTTGAGGTCTGGACTCCCCTCGAAAGGCCCTGCACACTCGGGAAACAAGGCTAAACTCGACGCCTCTGCGATCCAAAACCATGTTGCAAATCAGAAGAATGCCAAGCAGACCCGGAACATCACACAAGCCGACCCGCAAAACGTCAACCATCGATCCTGGTATCAGTGTCACGCGAAGGAAAAGACAACCCTGGGCCGACCAAAGTCCCGCGGCGCGCTGATGCCGCGTGCCCCAATTGCACTGCGATCCGCTTCATCATGCGATGTCGAGGCTGTCGGCCTCTCCGCGTTTCGCTAGCACCCTACCAGCCACCCTCAAATGTCCATCCCTGTTGGCTCGCGTCACACGAAGAAGTCAAGCATATGCGAGTTATCGGAAGCCTTCAAATCGGCGTCAGCATCTGTCGTCGCCGCACCCCGTCCATACCTACATACCTTTACCTTCCTGCTCCACCTACTCCCCCATCCCCCTCTTCTCTCCCCATCCGGCCCTCCCTCCCTCCGCCCCTCTTCGCTCCCCCTCTTCTCGCGCTCTCGCACCCCTCCCGCCTGTTCCCTCCCCCCCCCCCCCTCTTCTCTCCCCTGCCTCCCTGCTTACCCCCCCCCCCCCGTCTTCCCTTCTCCCGCCCGCCCTCGCGGCCCTCCTTCGGCCAGGCGCTGGCCGCCAGGCAGTCCACGACCCGCGCGCTGTGCAGGTCCTCGGCCGACCGCGCCGCACGACGGGAACGCCCTGACGCTGCGACGAGCGGGGAAGTGGCGAACTGCAAGGGGGAGGTGCGGAGGCAAGAGGGGAGGGAGCCGCGGAGGACGAGGAACGAACGAACGAACGACGAACAACGAGGATGAGGAACGAACGACGAACGAAAGGAAAGGGGAGGAGGGGGAGCCGCGGAGGATGAGGAGGGCAAAGGGGGCAGACGGGGATGTACTGCAGGCCAGGCTCGTGTTGCTCCCATCGTGTTTGCGAACCACATCCCAGAAACAATCCCGAGCACCCAAAACAAAATCAAAACAGTGTCGAACGAGCATCGCCTCCCAGGGCACCAAACGTGAAAACCCTCAAGTTTCACTACCTTCTTGGTGCTCAAAATTCTTTCTGGCGATAAAGGCTAAAGTAGGTTGGAACATCATAAAGCTAGGCGCACCCGCGCCACGTCAGACATCATGCCCTCCCACCCCTCCCTTCGCGTTGCGCTGAGCTGCTTCCCCGTCTTCTAACGCGTGCCATGGCGGACCTGGAACTCCAGAGAGGACCCGATGCAGGCCAGGCGGTCGATAGAGATCAAGATGAAGCTGGGGATGATGATGATGATGATGATGATGATGATGATGATGATGATGAGGAGGAGGAGGAGGAGGAGGAGGAGGAGGGGGAGGAGGAGGCCACCTCACAAGAAATTCTGCTATGGGTGACTCCATCGGAGGCTCCTAAGGCGTTACAGGCCTCAGAGTGCAGTGAGCTGCTCGACCCTATGAGAGCGAGCTGCTGGATCTCCGCCCAACTCTGGCCAGGTAAGTAGTTTGTGAGGAGGAGGAGGACGAGAAGGAGGACGACGATGACGATGATGACGATGATGATCATGATGATGATGATGACGATGATGATGATGATGATGATGATGATGATGATGATGATGATGATGATGATGATGATGACGACGACAATGATGACGATGGTGCTGATGATGATGGCAATGATGAAGATGTGGAAATGACCGATGGAACTGAAGATGGACATGAAGATGACGATCAACATGACGTTGATGATGGAGAAGGAATCTATCAATACAATGATGTATGATGGTGTGTGGTGATGATGGGTGGCGACCGTGCCGCGAACAGCCCGGACTGTCCCGAGAACGCGAAACGAGCGTCCTGAGAACTCGCTCCCCAGAGCAGCCCCCCGTTAACAGAACAGCGGGCAGCGCTCACCAGAACAGCCGACAGCACTCACCAGAACACGCTCCGCGCCTTCGCGAGGACGACGACGACGACGACGACCACGACGACCACGACGGACGACACACTCAGCGCCTTCGCGAGAACGACGACACTGACGACGACGGACGACGATGACAGCGACGACAACGACGATGACGACAATATCGACGACGACAATGACGACGACGATGACAACGACAATGACGACAACAATGACGACGACAACGATGACCACGACAACGACGCCCGCCAGCCCGCCCGCCCGTCCGCGCGCCCGCCCTCCCGCCCGAGGAGATTCAGAGAGGAGGACAAGCACGTACGCTGGAGGAGGGGGAGAGTGGAGTAGGGAGTTGAGCAGGGACCGACCGTCCCGGCATCCCTGTAGGCATACCACGAAATTTTCTTTGAACCCAGAAATGTTCTAAGAGCAAGAACAATGTTCCTAGAACATAACCCCGACGTGTCGAAACAAGACAGTCTAAATGTTCTAACAACCTTTCGTGCAGACCACAAAAGGTTCTTAGACATTTTTTGGTAGGCCTATAAGCAAAACCAGACGCTTCGACGCTGCTTGAGAAGAGTGATCAGAAAGAGAAAGCACCCATCGAACAGAGTGGCGGCGCACCCATGTCGGCGCACCTGTCACACAAATCATGGACCCAAATCAGCTCCAGACGCCAAGATGATTCAGGACTCCAGGACATTGCAGAGCTACGCAGGACACGCCCGTTCGCGACGCTGGAGGTTCTGAATCACTGGAGGCGCACGTCCTCACTACTCCAGAACACCCCTCAACAACAAAAAACTCGTACTGGGGCGCGTTCCGCGGCCACTGCGTCAAGGCGGATCCAGTCGTAGCGACAACGACGCTCCGAGCTGCCCAGAGAAGTGCAACGCCTCGTAAGCCCTCAACCATGGATCATCACTGGAGATCCCCGGACGTCCCCATCTGCAGGTTGCCGCCCCCGGAGCCCACGAGGACTCCTCAAGCAACAAACCTCAGAAATCTCCCAAGAGCGCCTCTACGACTAGCCAGATTCCCATCCTCGACACGATTTCCCTCCTGCTCAACGCGTGGCAACGCCTGGGGAGGCGAACAGAACACTCCCCTCTGCTCGCCACGTGGCGACGCTTTGTGGGCGACACAAATTCCACTCTACTCCGGGCGTGGCAACGCCGCGGGGAGGAAAATATAGTATTCCACTCGAGCCGCCGCGTGGCAGCGCCTCCTGGGGGTTGGGGGGGGGGGGGGGGCGAACAAGATGCTCCACTCGATGCCCTGGTTCTGAAATCTTCCGCGCGGATCGGCCGCACCGACACACTCAGAGTTTCCTGTTCTAGGGCAGGCCTGCGCGGGAACGGCACTGCCACGGGGCGAAAGAAGCTGCTCCGCTCGACGTGCCACGCTGCAACGCGTGGTGGGTCAAAGCCAAACTAGTACTTTACTTGACTAGTCACGTGGCAACGCCGAGGGGCGACAAACAAAAATACGAATCCCCCTACTCGCCACGTGGCATCGCCCGGGGGGGGGCAACAATCTAGGCGTGGCAACGCCGCAGGGAGGAGATTATAGCATTCCACTCGACTCGCCGCGTGGCAGCGCGAATAAATGCTTCACTCGACGCCCTGACCTTGAACAATTCCAGCACCCGCGCTGCACTTGAAGAGGACGGATACTCTGCGAGACCGCGCCCACGAACACAACAAAATCGCTCGACAGAGGAAAATCCTCGCCCGACCCAAAAAACTCCTCGCTGGGCCCCAAACAGTTCCCCCCTTCGCCCCCCAAATAATCCCCGTTCGCCCCAGAAAAAAACACCCCATTCGCCAGCGAATTTCTCGGTTGGAGGTCGGACTTTCCGGCTCACCTTTTCACCGCTCCCAGGATGAAAAATTGGTCCTGGTGGACCCCGCAGGTGTCCAGGACACGACGTCGACATCGAAGTCGATGGCGTCGAAGTCGACGGCGTCGTCGCCGCAGCTGCCCCTCCTCCTCCTCCACCTCCAATCCCCCCTCCCCCCACAAACAACGACGACGACGACCAGAGAGCGAGGAGAGCCGCCTCCTCCTCCTCCTCCTCCTCCTCCTCCTCCTCCTCCTCCTCCTCTTCCTCCTCTTCCTCCTCCTCCTCCTCCTCCTCCTCCTCTTCCTCCTCCAGTCGGGTCTGGCTCAGGCCCGCCTGCTGGGCCCGCCGCCCGCCGCCTCCCCCTCCTCCCCCCCCGCGCCCCGCCTCCCCTCCCTGGCGGCATGGTGCGACGGCGCCCGCGGCGGCGCTGATTCCGCTGACGCAGCGCGCCCGCGCCCTCTTCCTCGTGGAGTTGGGCCCGCTGGGCGCGATCGGCATGATTGCCGTCGTGCTGAGCCGCCGTACGCCGTGCTGCACGGCCCGCGGCGCCTGCTGGGCGGCAGCCAGGCCCCCTGCGTGGCGCGCGGCCTCCGCGCTGCATGCCGCTGGACGGCGGCCGCGGTTCCTGGATGACCGCTCCTGCTGGGCGTGGCGGGCGGGGTGGCGGCGTGCGCCCTGTTGCAACAGAGGGGCATGGCGCGGTGCCGCACGAGCCCAAGCTGGGCCTCGCCGAGGCTCGGCCGTGGCGAAGCGCGCGCCGCACGCCGACTCCTCTGCCCGCGCCTGCGCTGGCTCGCTGGCGGCGGCTGGCTGGGGCTTCGATTCGGGACCGCTCGTGTACATAGTCGAGCACTCGCTGGTGCTCGTGGCGGCGGACTCCGTCGCGTGGCTCGTCGAGGAGTTGTTGCTCTTCGTCTACGGGGTCGGCGTGGTCGGCCTCGTGGCCGGGGGCCCTGCAATGCCAGGGCCCCCGTTCCGGAAAGCCGTGGACTGCAACTCGTTCACGGTCGGGGGGTCTGGCTCCTCAGGTGGAGACCAGGCCCCCCGCGGCGGGAGGCGGTCGACCCCGCTCTCCTGAGGCTCGTGCATCCTCTTCCTCCTCCGCCTCCTCCTCCTCCTCCTCCTCTCCTCCTCCTCCTCCTCCTCCTCCTCCTCCTCCTCCTCCTCCTAATCGTTCACACCTCCCCGTCCCTCTTCACCCTGACCCCACTGGATCTAAAGTCGATACACGACCCAAGACGCGAGCCCAAGGGCCCACAGCAGACGGTGATGAGGAAGACGATGACGATAACAATGACGATGACGATGACGATGGCGACGACGACAGCGACGACGACGACGCTGATGGTGGTGATGATGATGGTGATGATGCTGCTGATGATGATGATAATGGCCATGATGATGATGATGGTCATGATGATCATGATGATGGTGGTGGTGGTGGTAGTGATGGCGAGGGCGAGGGTGATGGTGATGGCGGTAGGGATACATGTGAAGCTGGGATGATGGTAATGATGATGCTGATGATGATCATGATGGTAATGGTGATGGTGATGATGGTGATAATGGCGATGGTGTCGCTGATGATGATGTTGGTGATGATGATAATTACGATGATGTTAAATACTACGGCGCTGCTGCTGATGATGATGGTGATGATGAGATGAGGGGTGGTGAGGAAGACGGCAAGAAGTCAGCTGCTGCGATGGTCTCCAGCCACGAACGCTGCAGCAACATGGGTCGGTCCGTCTGTCCCGATTCGTAAATTACCCGATCACTGCTTGCCCTGAAGAGGTCCTGACCGGAATTGTGAGGAGTGACGGCAGAAGGCCGCCGATGCTGGCGGACGACAGGAGTCGCAGGTGCCCGAGATTCCCCTAAGCGTGTTTGCCCTGACTGGGTCCTCGCAGACGTTGGACGATGTTCTGAAAGTGCGGCGCCAATTTCGATGGACGGCTGGGTTCTCGGGTTTCTAGAGGCGGCCAGTTCTCGCAAGACCTCGAGCGCAGACTGGAGTGGCGGGCAGATGGTAGAGAGTAGAGAGCATACAGACCACTGTACCAAGTACAGAGAACAGAGAGCAATGCGAGCAATGCAGAGAGCGGCCAGGTGCATCACGAAGCCGTCTCGGGAGAAGGATGGCGCAGTGGAAATCAGAAGGTAGCGAGGCGGGAATTGATAGTAAAGGGTACAGTTGAGCCCCGCTCGAGGTCTCTTCTTGGGGTACTGCTGGGGCCTCATTGGGCAATCCTCGGAGCGTCGGGAAGGCTTCAAGAGGGTCTCGAGAGGGTCCCCAACAGAATCTACCAAGGCCAAAGAAACCCCTCAAAAGGTGCCTCCAGGCAGCCCCAGACGGAACCTACGAAGGGACCCCGTTGTGGTAGGTTCCGTTTGGGACCTCTGGGGTCCCCTCTTGGGGCCTTCTTAGGGCTTCATTGGGGCATCATTGGGGCACATTGGGGCATAATTAAAGCTTCGGGGAGACCTGGAGAATGCCCGAAGAGAGCCCCCAAACTGAACCTATCAAGAGACAGGTTCCTTGCTCGTGAGATCCCCTCCCATCGGGGCCCCTTGAGCCCCTGTTGGGGCCATCTGGGAGCGTATCACAGACAGCCGTCTTGGAGTGTTGCGGGGGACTCTCGGGGCCATCTCGGAGCTCTATTGGGTGGGCGACCAGATTCACTGTCCATTGCTCATGCATCATGTCGAAGGTCGTCACGCTGCCTTTGAGCGTCCGGCTCGAAGTACGGATTCGGGTACGTATCATCAGCGCGATGTGTTCTTGCAGTATCTGCTACACGCGCTGCGCGCCAGCCGTTCGCGGCGGCAACAACCAAGTCAGAGTGATGTGCCGAGTGGCCTCATACTGTCCCTGGGCACGTGGCCGAAATGGGCTCCTGCGGGCCGGATTGTCGTTGCTCTTGCCGCCCGCCCCGCGACCCATCCCTCGACCCGCCCCGCGACACACCCCCGCGAACCGCCCCCACCACCCACCCGCGAGCCACCCGCGGCCCACCCCAGACCCACCTGCGACCCATCCGCGATCTACAGTCGACCCGTATCGTAAGGATGCGCGGTCAGGATGCAAGGGCCTTAGAGGCCCATGTGAACATTTTTTCGAACGAGGCTGGCCAGCGAAAGTGGTTAAGGATGGGCCACAGGGGCAAAGATGCCAGGGTACCCTTGAGAAGGCTGCTCATCCTTACTATGCGGGTTGACTGTACCCGCGAGCCACCCGCGACCCAATCGCTATCCACACCCCGTACACCCGCAACCCGCCAGCACTGCTTCGCACGGCCCGCCCGCTGCCCAGCCCACCCTGCTCGCTGGGCACGGCGAGAGAGGCCCTCGGCAGGCTAGCCGTGGGAGAGCATACGTGCTTGCGGCGGGGGCTCGTCACATTGGCTTTCGAACCTCGCGACCCGCCAACGACGCGTCCGCGACCGATGCACGCTTTATATACATTTGCATACATACATACATACATACATACATACATACATACATACATACATACATACATACATGCATGCTTGCATGCATTCATGCATGCATACATACATACATACATGCATACATACATACATACACACACAGACAGACAGACAGACAGACAGACAGACAGACAGACAGACAGACAGACAGACATGCATGCATGCATGTATGCATCCATACATACATACATACATACATACATACATACATACATTACATTACATTACATTACATTACATTACATTACATTACATTACATTACATTACATTACATTACATTATATATTTGTACATATACAGTATAAGAATATATATATATATATATATATATATATGTATGGTAACAGTTTTACAACCAAACAAACAAAACATGCCCCCTGGACAAAGTGAATGCTTGGAGAAGTCGGAGCACGCGGCGTCAAATGCGCTCGAGCCCGCAGCCCTGGAAAAGGCAGCCTGGGAGCCTCATCCTTACCCGCACTTGCGGGGCTGACGCTTTCTCATAGTACGGCGACCCATGAATCTGATCCTCGTATGGTGAACGATAATCTTATTCGGCGTTTCGACATTGGGCGGAAGGGGGGGGGGAGGGGGGGGTCTGCCTCCGGACCCCTGCTTAATGCGAGTGTTTGCAGCAGTGCGCCCTGTGGGGGGAAAACTCCACCCGCTCGAAACAGGCGCCCCAAATCAGCCAAGATTTACTCCATAGGGGGGGGAGGGGGGTTCGAGGGGCCGCGCCGATCGGCAAAACAATGAATAAAAAACGATCACATAGTACGGCGATCCATGAATACGATCCTGGTGTGCGAAAGCATCATGCAATGAGGGCATGGCGCAAAGACTATGCCCAGCATATTCCACCCAATCATCGTCACGTCACGGTGTCCGCCCACCTGCACAGCATGTTTGGTCGGCATCTTGCACAAACTCCGATGGCATGCTACTCTTCAGCACGAGATGGGAACGTGCTCGCACATTCTTCGGCAGGCCGGGAACGTCTGGCGGTAAGGATCTGGGGCGGCACCGGAACCGTCCACTGCCACCGCCTCACCTCCGCGATCTGTCCTCGCTGCTCCGCCCTCCTCCTCCTCCTCCTCGTCCTCCTCCTCCTCCTCCTCCTCCTCCTCATCCACCCTCCTCCTCCTCCTCCTCCTCCTCCTCCTCATCATCCGCCCTCCTCCTCCTCCTCCTCCTCCTCCTCCTCCTCCTCCTCCTCCTCCTCCTCCTCCCCCTCTTCCCCCTCTTCCTCCTCCTCATCTTCTTCGTCCTCCTCCTCCTCCTCTTCCTCCTCTTCCTCCTCCTCCTGTCCTCGCCGCAGACCGCGACGGGGTCACAGAACGATAAGTACTCCCGAAGCTTGCCGTCCACGTCGTCCAGCGCCTGACACGCTGCCCCCCACACGATACGGTCGGGAACTTTTGCTTCGCGTATCGCGGCAGCGGCCCCCAGCGACACGCTGCGCCCTGCGAGCGAATGGCGCATCGCTCCGCTCCGCAGGGGCGAGAGGCGAGGAGACGCTTGAGACTTTGCCGCTGGAGGGGACAGGGAGTGGATAGCGTGTCGCGCCGAAGCGTGGGGGGCCAGAACCGGCGGAACGACACGCTGAGCCAACTTCCTGACCGTAATGTGGCAGATGATGCGCTCGTGTCCGCGACGTGACAGCGCTGCATGTCACATCCGCGCACACACACACGCACACACACGCACACACACACACACACACACACACACACACACACGCACGCACACACACACACACACACACACACACACACACACACACACACACACACACACACACACACACTCACACACGCACACACGCACACACACACACATCATCCGTCGATCACGGCGCCTCGTTGGAGGGGCCTGACTAGGAACGGTCTGTCTTTCTCGTCCCTGACAGCACGCGCGTGTAGAAGAGAAGGGGGGTTGTTAAAGGTTGATACGATCGGCTGTGATTTGGCTACCGCCTCCTCACTTGACCGTGCAAAACTCGCAGCCCTGCTGGAGAGAGGCGCAGAGTTGCAGATTGTTTTGCCTCTGGCTGCTGCCCTTCTGCGACTCCTGGGGTCTCCCAGGCCCTTCCGACCGCCCCCCTGAAGCAACCTGGAGCCGCAAGTTCTGGGATGCAGAAGCAGATCAGACAAGCCAGCTGCGCTTGTGCGTTCTTTGCTTTCGCGGCCTCTCCCTCGCGCGGGACCTCTCTTGGGCCTCCGTGGGGAGACCAAAAGACACCGATACCACTACTCCCCAGACCTCTCCTCGGGCGCGTTCTGACCAGGATTTCGAGGCGATTTCAGCGGTGGCGACGAGGGCCTCCCAGGAGGCCTGAAAAGGCGAAAACGAGGGAAGGGTAGCGGTATCGGCACCGCTTCCTCCTCAGCCTCTCGAGCATCCTGGGGCACACATTGCCGCCGTCCTAGGCCGCGGCCCTGGAGGGCGGCACGCAGCTGGTTTCGGCCCCACCGACGGGCGCTTTCCTCAATACGTTGGCGCCTCCGGCGCTGGGAGGCGCGGAAGAAATCAGCTGCGTGAGCTGATTCGCCCCCCCTCCCCTCCCCCCTTGCTATCCCCACCTCCTTCTGTGCGATCCGAATTTTGTAAGGGCGCAGTGGTTCGCATCAAGCTTGCCGCGGCCCTCCCGAACCTCACGGGGGGGTGGGGGGGGGGGGGCAAGGGGGGCACAGCGAGGAGTCGCCCGGCCGGGGGGGCGAGTCCTGGCCTTCCGGGGCTGGGGCCCCAGTGCAAACACATGTCCAAAATAGTTGTCACACTGCAGGCGGGCTGCCTACCAGACCACCCCAACCCAACCCAAGGATCCAAGTTTCGGGTTGGGGTCGGGGTAAGGGTTCCGCATATATGTGTTTCAGTGTTCCCTGGCGCCCCTCCCCCCACTGGGAATGGAGGGCGGCAAATTGAGGCCTTCGGGTTGGGTTGGGGTGGTTTGGTGGGTGGTGATAGACCTACATGAACTCCTGCCTAGAGTTAAGAAGAAAAGTTTGTTCTAGCCACGAGTCTGGGCCTCGCTCCAAGCGCTTTCTCAAGAAGTAGCCCAGGTTCAAATACACGAAACGCCCAGGGCCTAGTCCAGGTGCTTGATGTCTTGGACAAAATCTGGAGTTCATGAAGACTTGCTCGTTCTCAAGATTTCTGGTGGTCGTATGCCATCACATTGCACACCTGCACATTCAAAGATATAGCCAAACACGCGCCATAGAAAAACAGGCCGCAGAACCACGCGCGTGCTCCGTGCGCGCTCGGGGCCCTGTGCCAATGGGAACAGCTGGGCCAGTTGCCCGGAAATTTGCTCACGGGCCTCGCTCTGCGGCCTCTGTCCTGCGCAGACCACACCCACCACACACCCTCCCAGGCACAGCGGGCACACCAAAACAAGCACGCCAGGCGCACCACGATCACCACGCTCGCCACACATAACACCAAGCGACCACGCACACCACACACGCCCTTCGACATTGGCAGCTTCAACTCCCACCTGCCCGCTGCTACTCTTGTGGCCTGTTGCCTCCCCGGTTTCCGCGCCCTCGACCTTCGCCCCGGTCTTCCCCTCCTTCTCGTTATCCTCTTCCCTTCTCTCTCGCCCTCGCCTCGCCCTTCCTCCCCTTGCCCTCCCCGCCCTCCTCCCCTCGCCCTTCCTCCCCTCGCCCTCCCCTCTTCCCTTCTCTCTCGCCCTCCTCTCGCCCTTCTCTCTCGTCCTCTTCTCGCCTCGCCCTCCCCGCCTCTCTGCATGCCTCCCCTCGCCCTTCCCCCCGCCCAAACTATCAATGCATGATGCTTCTGCGCTTGACGATCCGACTCCGAAATACCAAGACTGGCGTCATACAAGTCATCTGCTTCTGCGCTTGACGAGCCCACTCCGAAATCTCAACATCGGCGTTACGGATGTGATGAAAGGAAATCACTACGCAACAATGCTGTGCTTCCGCACGCCTGATGAAACACGGACGAATGAGCACACGCCTGCATGTCAATATTGCGCGCAAGCGTCCAAGGTTTTACTGGAAGGCTCCTGGTGTGCCGATCAGGGGGGCTGCTGGGGTCCTGCCCAAGGTCAGTGGCCCGGCTTGGGGCGGGGAGATTAATCCGTCTGACGAGGTCTACGTATGGGGAAAACCTTCGTCGGGGGCTGAAGTGCGCCATTACTGTGATGGGGCTCGACACCAGCAGTGGTAAAGCGGGTGGTGGTGCTCCTCTCGGCAACGTGCGCCACCTGTTGCTTGGCTCGGCTGTTGCCGCACCCGTCGTGAGCCACGCCAAGCGTGACGACCAAGTGGGCACGGAAACCGGGAGGAAGAGGCGAGGGCCACCGCCGGCAGCTTCACAGAACCGCCCTCCGTTGCGATACCGCGGCAGCACGAGCGGGCGGCGCGCACACCCCGAGCACGGCAGCGCCTCTCGAGAGCAGCGCGCACGCGCGCACGGCTGGACAGAAGCGGCGAGGGGCAAGCGCCCCCCCCCACACGTCGAGAGGGCGGCCGTGGGCCGGCGGTGGCCCGCCCTGGACAAGCTCTCGGGCCGCCGCGCGGCGGGCCCGGGGCGGCCTGGGTCGGAAGCTGGGCGGGGGCCGGCAAACCCGTGGCTGCCAAATCGGTCGGCCCGGAAGAAAACCAGTACAACTTCATGGAAAAAGACTCCGCGCGCTAAATCGTAAACGGGCTGCCTCCCTCGTCCGCCTCCTCCACCCTTCCTCTTCCTCTTCCCCCTCCTCCTCCTCCTCCTCCTCCTCCTCCTCCTCCTCCTCCTCCTCTTCCTCCTCCTCCTCCTCCTCCTCCTCCTCCTCCGCCTCCTACCCCCTCCCCCGCTCGTTTTCATCTTCGTCGTCTTCAGGGTCGGCGGCACCGGCCGTAAGGCCTTCGCAATACTAAACGGGCTGCTTCCCAGAAAAAAACAAAACGAATTCCCGGAGCTCCGTTTTAGCAGCCACGGGTTTGCCAGCCAACGCCTGGCTTCTGACTGGGGCGGCCTGGGGCCTGCGCTGCCGGCCACTGGAACGCGGCCTCGAGAAGGCTGCCGCGCGCACCTCGTCGCGTCCGGCAGAGCAGGATGCTCTCAACGCGCCCCCCTGCGAAGCCATATGCAGCTGCCGAGGCTCGGCGCTGCAGAGGGCGGCCTCGCCGCCTCCCAAGCAAAGGGGGGGCTGCACAGAGCCCTACTGGCTCGACACACGCGCACCTCTGGCAAGCGCAGTGGCGAATTGAAATGGCATTTGTCTCAAGCAGTGCTTGCACTGAGGGTTTTCTCGCTTGCGTTCTAGCTGGCTGGCCATGTCTAGCGTACTTCCCAGTGTCTGATTGGATCCCGAATGCTTGTAGTCCTAGAGGTCCCTACTGCTTCTCCTCAAACTGGCCATCTCTGGCGAACGTTGTGTTGGCTGCTTCGATCCCTAGGGCGCAGCTTACTCTGAATCCATATGGCTTCCTCTCAACTGGCCCTGTCTGGCTTACTTTCTGGTGGCTGCTTGGATCCCTACGGCTTGGCTTTCTACACAGACCATTATGGCTTCCCCTCCAAGTGGACCTAATTGGCACATTTTATGGTGGCTGCCCGGATCCCTATACCTTGGCTTCCTGCGGATCCCTACTGGCTTCGCTCCCACTGGCCCAGCGTATTCCACACACACACACGGGGTTCCACACACATAGGGTTCCCCCACACACTCACACACACACACACACACACGGATCCACACACACATGGAGTTCCACACATATGGAATTCCACAAACACACACACAAACACACACGCGATTCGGAACACATGGGGTCCGCGCATATGGGCCCCACACGCACTCACATGCACATACACACATGGAACACACATTCTACAGACACACATGCGTACATGGGGTTCCACACGCACTGGTACACATTCATACACACACATATAGATATAAACACGCTTTTGCGTTGCGGCCGCGCGCGCAGCGACGCGGCGGAATCAGGCAGCCAAAGACGAGCGAGCCGGGCCCTCACGTAGCACGCCGGTGTTACACACACACAGACACACACAATTTGTCTGGCGGCAGCGGCCTCGCTGGCAGCGCCGAGGCGGAGAAAGCTAGAAGTGCAGCGGCCGGGGCCCCTGCGCGCGCCAGGCTCAGAGGCAAGCGGCGCCATGTGACATCCGGACGTGGGCGGCGGGGAGAAAAGGTGGACGAAACGACCACTGGTCGGGGAAGGGGATAGCACGGAAGGCGAAGTAGGCGACACGGGCGACACGTCAAGCGACACGACGGGCGGACGAGCGACCGACACGTACTCAGCGAGCGAACGAGTGGCAGGCGGAACGACGGAGGGGACGCCAGTGGAGATGGCAAAATGCCAATGGAGAACGCTGAGCATCTGGACTTACGGCTCCCGTGAGGTCGCGAGAGCTCGCAGGAGGGAACCATCTTGTGGGACGCCGCCGCGTCAGAGCCCCCGCATGAGGCATGAGGCAGCAGCGGTCACCCCCATGGCCCCCTCGTCCTGGGTGGGAAGAGAGCGTATGATGTGGAAACGAACTCTATACACCGACGCTTCTTCCAGCCCTGCGCTAAACATTTGCACGGGAAAGCGGATCCTGGTGTATACGGTGTCCTGGTGTATACATGTCTCGTTGTCCCCATGGAAGCGGAAACCACAAGTATACACCACACCACCCCGACGTCGTCCCCTTCCCTCAGAAAGTCTTGGCATTGAAAAGCAACCCGCCACTGGTAATGTATATGCTTCAGTTTCCGATATGAAGAGGCTGAGCTGGTGGGCAGAACAGGCATTGGGGTCGAAAGTCGCTGGAACCTCCCCAGCACCAGCCGCAGAGCTGGCGGCATTCAGGATGACCCCTTCGTGCCAGTGGGCGGGCAGAAAATGGACTACCAGGCAGGCGTCATCAAGCGAGGCGGTCACGCGATTGACCAGAGCGAGATGAACAGCTGTCGAAGCTGAAGAGACTCTCTCCCTCACACACACACACAAACTTTCACGGCCAGTTGGTCAAAACCAGCGAGGGCAAAAGCGGGACGCGCTAGATGGGATTACCATCGAACATGTGCCAGAAGGGGTTAAACCGAGAGCGGTTGACGGATGCAGAAACGCACACACACACACACACACACACTTACACACACACACACACTTTTTGGCGTCACGGCCACTCGCGCAGCGACGCAACGGAGCCAGCCATCCAAGTGCCTTACAGAGTAATAGCGGCCGGGGAATCGCGCAGCACCAGGTTCTGAGCACAGACGACACACGCAGCACCAGGTTCTGACACACACACACACACACACACACACACACACACACACACACACACACACACACACACACACACACACACACACACACACACACACACACACACACACACACACACACACACACACACACACACACACACACACACACACACACACACACACACACACACACACACACACACAAAAAACACACACACACACACACACGCGCGGTGGGTCCCACGCGCATGGGATTCCACGCACACGGGTTTCCACACACGTGGGGATCAACACACACACACACACACATGACGCAGGGGATTCCACATACATGGATTTCAACACCTGTTGGACGGTGAACCGTTTTCGGTCCATGAGTGGGTATCACTGCAATCGGCTGCCTGGGTTGATGTTGACCGCCTTGCGTTGCCATCCTACCTAGCTTCGTGTGCAACTATCGCGATGTCTGGAAGTATCCCAATGTGTTGCTCGTCTTAATCTGCGAATTTCAGTTCGACGACATGCTCTTAGCTTGCATGATGTGATCTCGCATTGGTTTCGGAGGGCTTACGCGAGGTTGGGCGAGAAAAGGCAGAAGAGAAAGAGACGGACAAGGCAGCGAGGTAGAAACAGAGAGAGAGAGAGAGCAGAGCACCAATGGAAATGAAGCGATATGTCTGGAAACGCAGAGGAGCCACGAAGCGCAGACAAATCGCCGAAGCACCACGGTAACGAAGACGGACAGCGAGATCAGGCCGATCAGGCTGAACACGAAATTGCAGCCGTTGCAGCAACAAAAGCACGAGGCACCTGCGACCAATCGCAAGCATCGGCTACCCTCGCCCTTAGCATATAACGTCGCTGCTGAGAGCTTGTACCATCCCCCGCGTATGTCTCACTGGTGTACACCAAGTGGGCCTATTCGTGTGAGAATACTTTCGGCGGGGTTCAAAAACTGAAACGCTATTCATGCCACTGGGGTCGTAGGAATTAAGGCCGTATGCTCAAATGAGTTCAAGTCTCCAGGTAGCAGTGCCCTGCACCAGTACTATGCAAACTCAATGTCCAACGCTCTATTCCCATCACGGTTGCCACACGTGCATAGTTACCTGCGCTGCCGCCTGCGTCGGACCTTGCACAAGGCCCTCTGCTTGGTGCACAAGGAAGCCGAGCCAACTGCTATAAGCATGGCAGAGGGCAGAATCCCGCAAGCGTACATCACCTGTCAGACGAGTAGGCGTTGTAAATGGGCAACTATATATACATATATATGTACACATATATATACATATATATATACACACATAACCCGCAATACTGCCCACGCACACACATATGTGTAGAAGCACAGACAGCTGGTATTACAGATCATGTGCAGCCTTCACAACACAATGCACTACAACACTCAGACACAACAAGACTACGGGTGGCACGATACACATGCACCGAGACGCGCCACACAGCTACGAACAAAGAGCTCTCGAATGGTTGCCGCGACCCTGCATGAACTGGAACTGCGCGCTCAACGACAAACTTCCCGATCTAGCCCACCTGCAACCAGCTCCTACGATGATACAAAGACATGCGCGGAATAGTACATGAATGCGTAAGCAATTAACTAGCATGTTAGCTAGCATGGACCCAACACAATGGGTTCTAGCATACTATGTGGTAAAAATCGTTGTGGTGCAATTAGCCCTGTCGAACTTGGAAGTGTCACCCCCACTGTCCGCGTAATCGTTCCCACCACCCACCCATTAACCCGCTACTTGGTTTGCAAACCCATGCGGCGGCGACTGACATGGCTGCTGGGCGCTGGCTGGCGCCTCGCTGCGGCGCTGGCTCGCGCGTAGAGCGTAGTCTTTCGCGACTGGCGCGGCCGCGGTGGGGTTGACCGCTGGGGACTTCCCAATGCGTAGTGCAGGCCGCGCTGACGCGCGGGCGTTTCAATGCGAGTGGGTAACTCGGGCGGGCGCGGTATCATGGCGACGTTGACAAATGAAGAAACGATGATGGTCGTATCGATGCTGGTGGCAACGATGCCGATGACCACGGCAAGGCCAATGACGGCTACGATGCTGACCAAGCCGATGACGATGATGGTGTCCACGCGTCGGCGTCGAAGGTTGTGGAAGGAATGATTTCGACATGCGCGGGCGGCCGACAGGCCCATATGGTATTATTCAACAGGCTCCAGCACGCGCGCAAGTTTGGACGCCCGAAATGGGTACAGAAAAAATTGGCACAATGCCCAACAACAAATGTTGTCCCAAACCAACAGCGGCCGCTGTTGGGCAACCGGCCTTCTGTCTCAAATGTACACAGGCCGCGGCGACACCGACAGCGAGTCCTGTTCAAAATGAATACGAAGCGTTGTTGGGCATTGTACCCATTCTTTCCGTACCCATTTCGTTCGTGCCGAGCAAGGGCGTTCGAATGATTTCGGCACGCGCGCTTGAAAGGCCCGCTTGATCGCATGTGATGAAAATCTTGGAGAACCTGCCGTTTCTTCAAGAATTCGCAAGACCTTGCCTTCAGACCTGTTTTTCCCAACCTTCGAACTTTGGGTTTTCGTTTTGAATAGAGCACTGCGGTCTCCGTCCTCTCCCGCCCTCTCATCCTCTCCTCCCTCCTCCTCTGCTCGCTTGCCTGTTACCTCCTCGCTTCGCCTTCCTACGTCACCTCGCTATCCCTGGGGGGCTACCTGTGAAACTGTTGCCACGTTCGAGAGCGGTTGGTGGGTCCAGCGGAGTGAGGCACCACCCAGATTCAGATTAGACCCCAGCACCCCAGGGGGGGCTGCGATCTGCGAAACTCTCGCAATTTTCGAAGGCTGCGGATGGACCCAGCGAAGTGGGGCACCACGCAGGCTCAGATTAGACCTCGCGCCATCCCTGGGGGGCTGCGATCTGCGAAATTGTCGCCAATTTCGAGGGCTGCTTGTGAGGCCAGCGGAGTGGGGCACCACCAAGATTCAGATTTGACCTCGGCACCCCGGGGGGGCTGCGATCTGCGAGCCTGTCACCACTTGCGAGGGTTGCTGGGGTGTCCGGTGGAGTGGGGCACCACCCAGATTCAGAGTAGACCGCGATCTGCAAAACTGTCGCCACTTCCGAAGGCCGCTGGTGGATCCACCGGAGCGGGGCACCACCCAGGCTCATTTTAGACCTCGCCATCAATGGGGGCTGCGATCTGCGAAACTGTCGCCACTTCCGAAGGCTGCTGGGAGGTTCGGCGGCGTGAAGCACCACCCAGATTCAGACTCGACCTCGCCATCCGTAGGGGGGCTGCGGTCTGCGAGATTGTCGCCAAGTTCGAGGGCTGCTGGGGAGTCCAGCGGAGCGAGGCACCACCCAGACTCAGATGAGACTTCGCCATACCTGGGGGGCTGCGATCTGCGAACCTGTCGCCACTTGCGAAGGCTGCTGGGGGGTGGCTCAGCGGGGTGAGGCACCGCCCAAATTCAGACTCGACATCGCCATCCCTGGGGGGCTGCAATATGCGAAACTGTCGCCACTCTCGTGGGCTGCTGGGGGGTCCCGCGGAGCGCTGTCGTGGGACGCCCGCAGGTCTGGTGGCGCGCCCTCGAGTGTTTCGCTCCCGCACTGAAAGTGCAGGAAGGAAACAGGGAAACTGGAGGGCGAGCTAGGCCTCGCTCGCTTCTTGCACTATCTGCAAGCAGGTGTAATCATTTTGTCGAACGCCGCGGCGTCATGGCGCATGCGGCGCTGCATCTTGAGCGTACTGCCGACAATAGCAACACTCGTCGGTCTCCTCCCGTCACTTTCGCCGTCGTCCTCTGCCCCCTGCCACCTTCCCTCTGCTGCTGCCGCGATGACGGCTTCGGCCCCCCACGCGTCCTCCTCCTGCACTTCGTTCCCGCCCCTATGTCATCCTGAAGCCTGGGACCTCGCTCCTCGTCCTTATGTTGTTGTCCTGTGCATCGTGCCACGTAAGCGCGCCCCGTGTAGCTTGCACAACATATAACGGCGCCTGCACTGTCATTGTACTGGCAAGTTTGGGCCAATTCCTCTTGACACTTCCTGCAATTGGGTTGGGTACGTCGCAGGGAAATAAAACATCATGTTGCAAAACCAGTATGCTTGTAAGTTTCTGGGGCACTCGATTTTGAAATCCTTGCGAAACCTGAGATTCATCACGAATGGGCAATTGTCCCAGGTCCCTTGAAGAAAAAACACGAGCAACGAAGACGCGTTCATGTGGGTGTTGCCTGTTTTTTGCAAGGTGCCCGGGGGAATTGCCAATTCGTGATAAACGAGTGTGCGCGCATAGTTGTTTTTTTTCCGAATGGTGACGGGCCCAATCGATACCGGTTGGGCTGGGATGGGATGAGTTTATAGTTAAACTCGACCACGATGCTGAACTTGATCGCGCAACTTGCACACCCCAAGGGCAGGGGGATACCCACGCCATCGGGGAGGTGGTAGGTCCGAGTTTCTTCTTATAACAGAAACTATACTTGGTGCAATATTCAAGGTGTAAACTATGTGGTGCGCTCTATGTGGTATACTCTACGCGGTGCAACCTAAGAGGGGCATTAGATGTGGTGATATTGATTCTTACAAACGAGTTGACACATCCCATGCTATTGCAAACACCCCACCCACCCACCCGCAACTTGGTTCGAAAATGCCATGCGGCGGCGATTGCGATGAGTGCCTGGCGCTGGCTGGTGCATCTCTGCGGCATCTCTCCGTGAGAGCTTCCCGGGTGGATCCCGAGCTTCGGTTTGACGGCTGCCCCCCCCCCCCGCACGGTATGCATATGACATCCCAAGGTACTCACAATGTTGCGCCCCTCGCAAGTTCACTGTGATCGCAAGGCATGCCCTGATCAGTCGTTCGTGCGACTGTGTATGAGTTGTCGACTTGCCGGGTTCTTGATCAGAGGCGTCAGTTGCAGTCTGCAGACAGCCTGCGAACTAACAACTCAAGCTGCCCGCCAGCACTGGCTCCAGGATCAATAGAAGGTCTGTCGTCACATGTTCCCATCGGTGCAGTATGTTTCGAGTGCCTTTGCCAGCATATAAGGCCGCAGGCTGCGAACGGGGGATGCAGAGATTGGAGCTTCTCAACCACGACAAGCCACAAGAGGGCGGAGAAGATCACCCGCCGATCACGATCTGCGCGGATTCTCCCTGACGCTTGGGCGCGCACAGAAGCTGCTGTTGCCCTTGGCCGCCATGCAGCCGCACACGGCAAACAAGAGCGAGACCATGACAGTGCAAATGTAGCCGGGGATCGAGTACGATACCACCGCCTGGACGCTGATGTTTATATGATACGGTACTCTTGGATTGGGCAGAGGGTGGGAGAAGACGGCTCTGCAACTGTTTGCGTTGTTTCGGGTATGCTTACAACGAGAATCGGATTCTGCACCAAGTGCAGATGCGGCACAGCGTGGACGACAGAACGGAAGGACGGCGTACAACTACTTCGTGTTTTCGTCGGAGGCCGAGAAGGCGCAAGAGAACGATCAGGCGGGAGGTAGAAGAGAAGGGGACGGAAAAGGAGGAGGATGAGAGGGAGGGGCGGGAGAGGAACGGGAGGGAAGGGAATCGATTCATGCTTGTTCCAGTCAGCCTTCTGACAAGAGGGCACAGAGGAGGAGGAGGAGGAGGAGGACGATCACCAGCACCAGCTGCGGCAGCTCAGGCCGCATCAGCTGCGGGCAAGTAGCAGCAGCGATCTGAAGCACAAGACGATGACACGAAGGCGTCCACACTGGCGTTCCTGCACTCCTGCAGCCTATAACGGGCTGCAGGAGTAATGCAATGTTCGTCGTCGACGATCGGGGATCGAGGATCGAGGATCGAGGTTGCCGGGCGTTTCTGTGCGAGTCGGGGCGTTGCTGGGTGTTCTTGGGGCTGCTCTTGACAGGCTTCACAAGGCAGGAAGAGTTGCGTCACTTCTGCAGGTGGGGGGGGCCTTACTGCTCGTGCAACCTTTAACTGTTCAAGCTCAAGGTTTGAAGTTGCGCTGCTTCGCCCCTTCTGTCACACCCGAGAGCGTCTTTCGGGCCAGAGCCGAAGCATCAACCAGGACTGAGAACAGGGCAACGTTCATGGATAAACTGCCGCAAACGTCAGAAGCCTTGACCAATGCTGGGCCAGGAACAACAACCAACCATAGTGTTCCCCACCAAGACGAAGCTCGACATACGAAGGCATACCTAGCACAAACGACTTTACGTCGTTTCAATGGGCGTGCATTCAGGAAATATGCGAGAACGAGAAAGAAGCGGGCGATGATCGTGAATCGCAATGATAGAAAAAGCCCGACCGAACGCCTCGATCCAGGCCGATCGATGAACCAAGGACCCATGATCCTTTGCCGACCTTCGGGCGAGGGTGACTGACGCCGTGGCGACGGTTGCTGGTACGCAGAAGAAGGCTCTCCCTCTTCCAGGCGCGACGGCGGGGTGGCAGGTGCATCCGCCGTCGGAACTTGCAGCAGGACGTCCATGACGTCGTGGTCCTGCGGGGGGGGGGGGGGGGGCACCGCTGCGCACCCGCGGGGCAGGTAACAGAAATGAGGAGACCGAGCCACACCCCTGCTCCCGCCCCCTCCCTCCTCACTGCCATCACCCCATCGCTCGCTCATTCCTTTTCCGTCTGTTCATGCGAACCGGGGAAACTGAGCAAGACTGCCACAACTTCTGTCCTCGTCGCACGTGCGCGTTGTATCATGGCTCATTGCCGCGTGATGATACCACGGTGGCGACAGCGAGAGTTCATCAATGCCGGCGACAATGTTGCTGACGACAACGAAGACGACGTCGTTGACGACGACGTACGGGGACGAAGGCGATGCTGAGGACGAAGATGAAGGGTGACGATCGTCGGCGATGACGCGACGGGATGCTCGTTCCGATGGGTCGACTCGTGAAAATGGTGGCGAACACGACGATCAAGAGGAAGGCAAGGCTCTGGACAGCAAGATGCCTGGGCCCAAGGTAGCGCGTCGCGGGTCATCTGGGGATGGAGGCGGACCGTAGATAAACGAGAGGGGGAGGGGGGGGGCAGGAGGGGGGGGGGCAGGAGGACGAGAGGAGGAGGAGGAGGAGGAGGAGGAGGAGGAGGAGGAGGAGGAGGGAGGGTGGGAGGGTGGGAGGGTGGGAGGGAGGAGGGAGGGAGGGAGGGGAGGGAGGGAGGGGGGAGGGAGGGAGGGAGGGACGGAGGAGGGAGAGGAGGAGGAGGAGGAGGAGGAGGAGGAGGAGGAGGAGGAGGAGGGGAGGAGGAGGAGGAGGAGGAGGAGGGAGGAGGGGCGAGCAAAAGGGGGTGGGCGAAGCGAGGGGTGGCAACAATGCAAGACGGAACGATCTCCACCGCGGGGGGGTGGGGATCGCCAGGGCAGTCTGGTGGTGCGACTGACACTTCTGGGGGAAGCCTCTGCTCTGGCCCCCCCCCCGCCCCGCGCTCCAGGCACGGTGGGCAGCGGGCGCGGGCAACATCTGGGCGAAGAGAGGGGGGGCAGGAAGACGGAACGGGAGGAGGGGTAGGGCATTGGAGGAGGGATGGGAGGAGGGATAGAAGGGAGACAGGGAGGCGGGGTGAAGGAAGAAGCGGGAGGAGGAGGAGGAGGAGGAGGAGGAGGAGGAGGAGGAGGAGGAGGAGGAGGAGAAGGACCAGGGTAAACCCAAGAGCCATCATCGATGTTGGAATACATCCTCCCTCCAAGCTCCCTCTTCATAGGCCCCATACAACGGTTCATTTCCACTGAGGGAACTGCTTCGTTGGACGACAATCGTTTGAAGACCCTGAAGCATGCCAAAACACCATTCTCGATAATCCAACGCCACGGATCAACCTGACGGTTGGGTCTTGACGAGCCTGAATCGTGCCAGAATGCCAGTCCTGGGGCTTCAACACCGCGAATCAATGTAACTGTTGCACCCTCATAATCCGAAGCTCTTCCAAAACACTCCTGGTACGCTGGAACCGCGGCGCGGCGCTAAGGCGAGTGTCACAGTTTGAAAAGAACCGTCCTTAATTCGTGAAACTATTGCAAATCTGTATAGCAAATGTGCGCGGCGCTAAGGCGAGAGCCACAGTTTGAAAAGGAACCGTCCTTAATTCGTGAAACTATTGCAAATCTGCATAGCGAATGTGCGAGGCGCTGAGGCGGGAGCTACATTTTGAAAACGGCCCGCCCTCCATGTGTGAAACTGTTGCCAATGTTGAAGTTTCAGGGTCATACAAGGTGAGGAAGTCTCGAGCGAAACACCCTGCCCGCCCAAAAAACTTGCCTCGGGGTGCGGCAGGGACAAAATTATGTATCAGGAGGAGGAGGAGGAGGGAAAAGGCGCCTGGAGAGGAAGGGGCGGGAGGAAGGTGGGGAGAGGATTGGAGGGAGGGGAGAAAAGTAGGACAGGGGTACAAGTTGTTGCTTCTCACCTTCTGCTTCACGCTTCTGCTTCTGAACCCTGGGGCACTGACGAAGAGCCTTCCGCAGCCTCATCAGGGGCTCTCCCTCTGTGGGACCTGTCGGGGTCCTTGTGGGCCAGTCCCACCAGCTCGCTGGGGTTCCGCAGATCAGCTCTTCAAGACGAACACTTTATTACCCTTCGACCCTCCCCGCGTCTGGGCCAGAGGGGGTCGCAAATCGTCGGGGCGTCCGAATAGGCCCTGGATGATCCGCTCAAGCAGCCGTGACTCCCACCAAGCCTCTGGGCGTGGGTGCTGTGGCGAATTTCCTCGTCCAACCCCCTTCTTGCCCTTCGGAAAGGTCCACCACAGTTCCCTATTAATATGCACCCCCTCCCCAGGGCGACCGGCAGCTATTCAGGACCAGTGCCGACCCGATGCGCAATCCCCAACCATCCCTGTCCAAAAACTATACAAAACACACTCTGCCTCCAAATTCGGAGCATGCGCAACCAACCCAATACGCCCCCCCCCCACCATCCCTGTCAGAAAACCATGCAAAATACACTTTGGGGCAAAGTCTTGAGTCATGCTCCCGAGGCCCGCGAGCACTTCGTTTGGTTTTAGACAGGGGCGGTGGGGGTGTCAGCAGAGCGCCTGCTGTACGCAGTGCCGCCATCCCTGTCAAAAAGCATTGCAAAATGAAACTCGCGGCTAAATCTGGATCGTGCGCGGCACCCCGCTATCACTGCCAAGTGGTTTTTGACAGGGACGGCGGGGGTGGTGGCGTATGGCCTGCTGTGCGCAGGCCCACCAGACACAATGATGGGCATTGATGTTCGACAAGGATGGTGGGGGCTGACATGTTTCCCGATGTGTGCTTTCACTTGCGCAGGCGCACCTGACACACTCTGCACGTGCCCCGAGCGCGGCGCACCTGGCCCGGCTGGAGCATGCGGCACACCTGGCGCACGCGGAGCACGTGGCGCATCTGGCGAATCAGGCGTGCCTAGCACGCTCGGGCCCCAGGGGTGCCTGGCGCGCGTGACGCGCCTGGCACGCGTGGCGTACCTCGCCTCAGCATCGCGCACATGGGGTCGGGCTTGGTTCCCAGTAGTTGCCCATGTAAAGACGACCTCTGAACATGCTGGGTGACACGTTTTACTGCTGTGTTTGGAGGGCGGGTGGCAGTGAATTTGATCGTTTCATTTTGCCAGTGGCTCAGACTGCTTGAGGATTCGAACGAAGCACGGGCAAGCTAGGCTGGCTAGTGCGACACAGATCTGCTCAAGGTACCATTAAAAGGAGGCATTGGGCTGGCGTGGGCCGAAAGAAGTGCCTTGAGCGAGAAGGCGACAGACATTAGCAATCATTCTGGTGCATCACTTACATGATCGCTTTATTTTGCCAGTGGCTCAGACTGCTTGAGGATTCGAACGAAGCACGGGCAAGCTAGGCTGGCTAGTGCGACACAGATCTGCCATACTTCAACTTGAAATAAAATCCATCACTCAAGCATTGTGCTGGGGCTAACCCCGCATTCGTTTCCATCTTTTGGTGGACTGCTGTGCTATACACGATCTGCGCAGCGTGTCAGCCAGGAGTGCGCAAAGGGCGGGGGGATAGGCGTTTTTGAGACGGGTGAAAAAGCCACCCCCAGAAAGACAACCGGAGAGCTCCAGGTGGGGCTTGCCGGTAAAGGAGCAAATTCCTCTGCCTTTGCACACTAACTTATCAAGACCAGGGTGCGGGCTGCACTTCCAGAACCTTATCCGAGCGCGAGCACGAAAGGGGCGACCACAAGCGCAGTAATCCACATCCCTATCACAGACTTCGGGAAGGTTAGCAAAGGAGCGGCGGTCGGGGCGAAGCCACAGGAAACTTTGCCAAGGGTTCTCCTCGCCGCCAGGGATATTCAACCTATAGCAGAGACGCTGAATACGCTGTGAGACCCACCCTACCTTGTTAGAGACGCGGAGGCTCTCGAGGTCTTTACCCGTGAGGCCCGGGATCCCAAGAGGAAACGCGGGGCTCCGGAGAGCCGAGGGCATGCTGCTGGACAGGGGGGCCCGACGGGCCCTCGAGTAGCCGTTGCAGGGCGTCCCCAGGAAAACGAGTTTGACCAGACCAGACGTCAGCCATCCCCGGAGGATCCTCCAGACCCCCGGGCGAGTCAAATCAAAATGGCTTCCATGTTGGATGTTCCATTCTACCACAGCTTCGCCTCTCTGCCTCAGATGTTTGCTCAGAGCTCCACATCCTGAGAAGACTTCGATGCACGCCCTTGATTGATGGGGGGCGCTTCGAAATGCAGCCCCAAGGACCTGTTGAAGACGCCCACGAAGTCCCTGCTTGCTGCTCGGAGGGTTTCGCGCTGCAGGTCGCTGAGCTTGCGTAGTTCCAGCAGCAGGCGTCCGTGCTTCTCGTAGCGCAGCACGGACTTGAACGCCTTCCACCCTCCTCGCTGCTGCACGGTGCCTGAGTCTCTGTCGCCCGTGCTCTGGTCGTGGCTGGCCCCTCCATGCTGGAGGGAGCAAGGGGTGGCCTTGAGTAAGCTCACGCTCAGAGCAGGGGTCGTGTTCTGGAAGTCCTTCGCCAGTTGGTTGTAGCCCAAGACCAGGAAGGCATGGACGGGTTCCCGAAGGGCTCGCACAAGGAAGATCGGGTTCACCATCAACTGTTGCCTGGGCAGGTCGAGCCGAACTGAAAGGTCGTACTCGCGGGTCTTGGTTGGTATCTCGTACACTGAGGCCCACGCCGCGACCGTCAAGCAGATCGGTGCACCTCCTTCCCTTGGCAGCGGCAGGACTACCTGCCTTGCTCGCAAATCCAGCACTCTTGACGGGCGCATGTAGGTCTCGAACCTGGTGAGACTGGCCACGCCACTGAGTGGCTTCCCCGCCCGGCACCGCCCGCAGGCCACCGCCAGCACCACCAAGAACGGGGCGGGCGGTCTGGATTTGGACGGGTCCAGGACGCGCCAGCCCTTCAGCGTCTGGTGCGTCAGGGGGAAGACCTCGCGGATCCCGCCCCGGCGGAGGGCGGGCAGCGCCCAGCGCAGCGCCGGGGCCAGCCGCTGAGATGACGCCTTGGGGACCCCGCGGTCGTAGATCGACTCGGCGTACTCTCCCAGCGTCTCGCCCCACGTGAGGTGCGGCCAGTCCAGGAGGAAGGCCATATTCAGCCAGCGTGCCAAGCCAAGGATCATCCCGAGGTAGGGCCCCTGCGTGCGAGGCCTGCACTTGGCCGAAGCAAGCCGGGTCTGGCGCGGGCGCAACTGGCGCCTCTTCTGGATGAAGTCGCTCTCCGAGTGACTGAGGCCAAGCTTTGCGCGCCGCCCAGCCAAGTCTGGCCTGCTCTCGGGCTCGCCCAGCACCGGCACCACGGCCTGCCTCGGCTTGCCCCGGCATCGGTTGCCCGGATGGCAAGGCGAGTGGCTCCTGCGCTCGCTCGGCGCGCGAGGGCCGGAGCGGCAGCTCGCCAAGGCCATCGGCGTGGGCGGCACCGCCTGGAGCATCGCCACCTCCACGCACGCTCCCGGGGCCCCGAGGCTGGAAGCGGCGAGACGGACCGTCGCTCGGGTTCCACTCTGAGGGGAGCCACCTCACCTGAACCTTCAGGTCTGCGGCGATCCCCGCAGCGAAGAGGACGCGACAGACTCCCAGGAGCCGATGATTGGCCGCGCGGCCTTTGGCGGCAGCGAGGGTGAGAGACATGTTATCGCCAAGAAAGAGTCGGCGCGAACAGTGCTCCCGTGAGTCCCTGGCCGCCCGGCGGACGGCCCATGTCAGAGCGGCCCCCGTCGAGCCCGTGGATGGCCTCCTTGCGCTTCCAGCGGCCGCAGCCTACTACGCGCCAGGGCCGGGCATGCATCTTGCCGTAGTTGACCTCCGGGAAGCCTGCCGCGCGCCCGGCCAGCAAGAGGGCGGGCTCTGGTGCCCGCGCTGTTTCCTGCTCCAGCGTCCTCTCGCGGGGGGCGCCCTCGGCAGCGAGCACGCCACGGAACCGTGCCCGCTCGGGGACCCTGCCGACGCGCTGCACATCCTTCAAGTCCCACTCGGTCTCCACGATCCCGTAGCCCCAAGGAGACGCGTCGAAGCAAGTGACCACCTCGCTCCACGGGCGTCGGGTGTCGGCCCGAAGGCACGGCAGTAGTGCCTTGACCCAGCCCATTTCACGGACCACGCTTTTCCAGAGCGGCTGCTTCTTGGAGTAGGACGCCTGCGCGAACTCGCATGAGGAGTGCAGCATGGCCAGCCCCTCCCGGCGCAGCATCAGGATGGAGACCAGGTGGCCGATCAAACGCTCGAGCTCTTGGCCAGAGACCTTGACCCGCCCCGTGAGAACATGCTCCAGGGCGCCGTAGACCCGCCAGAGCCGGCGACCCAGCACGTACCAGCAGCCCGTCTGCAGGTCGAGCTCGCATCCCAGCAGCTCGCCGCGCTCGGCCGGAGCAGGGTCTAGCTCGGAGACCACGCCCTTGGCCGCGAGCGCCGCCTGCGTGTCGGCAACGGCGGTGGCGGCACGGGAGGGCGACTGGGACAGCACGGCAAAGTTGTCTATGCACAGGACCTTGGCATCCTCAAGGTTCAAGTCAATGCCGGGGCACTTGTCCAAGCACCATGGCTGAGATGGCAAGACTGACTTGACGAGGTGAAGGTGTGCTTCTTGAATGAAGTGCACCGCCCAGCTCCAGCCCATGGGCACCACCTTGAATCGAAAGCGTACCTGGCCGCTCTTCAACGTCAATCCGCAGGCGCTCCGAACCTCCGGCGGCAGGAAGCGACTCTCGATCAGCGGGAGGTTGAAGTAGCGCCTACACCAGGGCGGCAATGCATATTGATAGAAACAGCAGTCGACGTCTCCAGAACTCATACCGATCATATTGACTCCCGACGCCTCCAGCGAGGACAAAGCCTCACCCGTCGCGAGTGCCGTGTGCTCTGGAGTGGTAAAGTGCATGTTAGGCGTCCTGGTGTCGCAGATGAGACGCAACCGCTTGTCCTTGCGAGCCACAAAAAACATGCCAGCTTCCTCCAAAACCGGCTCCGAGCTGGCCTCGATCACCCCGGAGGTGTAGAGCTCCCCCAGAGCGTGGCCGTAGTCGTAGCCGAGCCGCCCGAGCTTCGGGCCCATGGCACGAGGAGCACCTGCATCACGAATTAGCGCTGCTGCCTCCTCTGGGGATCGCAACAGCCCGCGCCCAGTCTCCAGCTTGGTCTGCAGGTCAGTCGGGAGGACCTCCGTAAGAGCCACCTTACCCGCACCGATCTTGGGGAGAGAGATGTTTCCCCGCTGGTAGACTGTTCGAGAACCGGAGGCCTCGACTTCAGAGTAGCCAGACCTGAGACCCTGTAGCGTCGTCCACGCTTCATGGGGACTAGGGCGATCAACGGGCGGCGACCGCTTGCCGTCGGTCGTGGCCAGCCGCCTCACGGCAGCACGCTGGGCCGCCGTCAGCGGGGCGGAGACGGGCACATGGCGCCCCTGCCCGCCCAGCTCGTTGAGGGAGGCGATGCCGTTGAGAAGCCGCTGATCCTGCCGCCTCCTGGTCGCAGCTCTCCTCCGCGCTGTGAGTGAAGTGCCCCATGCAGCCCCACCGCTCAGCATCGGCATCAGCTCCGGACCTATTGGGATAGGAAGTAGGTCTCGATGACGCCCTCCACCGCCGTCGTCACAAAACATAGTGCCGTATGGCCAGCACCTCCCCTTGAGAATAGTCGGCCGCTCGGGGGCAGGCGGGCGACCAAGCCACTTCGATGTAGGGATGGGGCTAGGCAGCCCCGTCAGCACCAGCCAAGGCCTTTGCTTTTGACTTCGGCCTGTCTGTGCTGTTCTCGTCCACGCTACCTCGAGCAAGACTCTTTTCTTCACGTCCTTTGCGGCGCCCTTTGGGTACTGCTGCTCCCTCCTGAAGGCGGGCCGCCACCACGCTATGCAGTGCAGTACGACCCACAACTCCTTCACGCCCGCGCTCTTGTCCCAAGAGGATCTTGCGCTCGTCGAGCAAAGCCGACCCCCCAGCACTGCGAAGTACGCCCGCCTCGTGTTCGCGAAGTCTGTTAGCATACTGCTGCACCACCCACAAGGTAGTCCGCGGCCCGCAGCCAGGGGAGTCCAGCTCCGAGTTGGAGGTCGTGGTGTCCCCTGACTCAGCGAAGACTCTGACCCTGTTGCCGCCGCCACCGTACTTGACGAGGAGGGTTCGAAGAGTCTGCTCTGCAGCTTGACGGTCCTGCCAGGCGGTGGGAGTGCCCTCGTAGGTATCGGCCTCCGCGACTGCCAGCTTGAACCCGTCGGCAGGCTCGCAGATGCCCCCATCCCCGGCAATGGCGCCGGGCACGGTGCCTGCTTGAAGCCCGTCACTTGGTCGGTAGCCAGCGCAAGCCTCCAAGACAACCCAGCGAGGAACATCACCTGCGTCAGCGCGATCCTCCAGACCACCATCGAGTGCAGGCGGAGGCGCGGGCGCCCCTTGTGGCTCCTCGGGGAGGCCCTCCTGTTGGCAGATCTCGCTAGCGAGCTGCTTGCCCTCGCTGAGCAGCCTCCCTTGGTGTCTCTTGAAGCGGACGATGTCTGTGCTGAGGATGTGGCCCGAGTGCTTCGTGGACAAGCCTCCAAGGGGGCCGACCTGACAGAGGTCCAGGGCGTTTGCAAAATCTTCCTCGTAGATGTCACTGTGTGGAGTGACCACCACCCATTTGCCCGCAGTGATTCTGCTGACCAAACTGCATTCATGCCAGTAGTTGTCCTCTTGATCGTAATGGCCGAGGACCCGTACGCCCACCCGCAGGTTCTCCAGGGCCTTCGCCGTCCGCGATGCTGCCATGGACCACCGACTGGGTCTCTCCGCGGGCACGTCGTCGTCCTGTCCAGACGAGGACCTTGCGAAACACTGCGCCCCGACCAGGCCGAGCACGAGCGAGAGGGCCCCCCCAGGCCGGGTGTGCCCGGGCTCGGGGCAGGCTGGCGTGTAGACGGATGCCCGTGCAGGTGCTCCTGTCCGCGCCTGCCAGGCTGCCCCTTCAACAGCCCGCTGAACGCCTCGCCGGGCGCGGCGTCGAGGAACCAGCTGCAGTCGCACCCGCTGCTGCTGCTTGGATCCAGGTGCCCAGCGCCTGGCCACCGACAGCCGCGACCTGATGAGCTCCCGCCGTGAAGAGGGCTGTGGCCGTTCGGAGAATGAAATCCCGAAAGAAGTGCCTTGAGCGAGAAGGCGACAGACATTGGCAATCATTCTCGTGCATCACTTACAAGACGGCTTGCTATCTAGGAGGGTGTCTTGACCCCTCCCCCTACCCCTCCACTGAACCCGGACAGGGCGCCCCGCCCGCGACCTATTGAAGCGTCGTCCAAGAAGGCCCCACCGAGGAGGCACAAAGCATGTACGTTCCTCAGGCTGGGGGGGGGAGCATTTTCGCCTCCTGGGAGGGGGGCGACGCTAATTGAGCCCCCTTCTTTTGATCGATCTCCTCCAAGATGGCCCGAAAATTGCCCCTATGCTCCCAAGTGCCCCAAGAGGGCGCTGGGGAGGCCCGAAGAGGCCCCAAAGAGACTCCCACGAGGCCCCCAAGGGACTCCCAAGAGGCCCCAAGAGGCTCCCCCGAGGCACCCAAGACGCTCCAAGAGGACCCCAGGATCGGCAAGAGGCTCCCAAGACGCCCCAAGAGAACCCTAAGAAGCTCTAAAGAGACATCCGAAGAGACTCTGGGAAACATCCAAAAAGCCTCTGGCCTTCCTCCTCCTCCCCCTCCTCCTCCTCCTCTTCCTCCTCCTCATCATCATCCGCAGACTCCTCCTCCTCCATCCTCCCTCCAGCCCCCTTCCCTTCGCCCTCCCCCGCCTCATTCTTCTCCTCCTCCTCATCCCCCTCCTCCTCCTCCTCCTCCCTCCTCCTCCTCCCTCCGACTCCTCCTCCGACTCATCCTCCATTCCCCCGCCTCTTGGGGTATGACGTCTTCCCAAGCCCTTGACCCTTGATTCCACTGCTTACTCCTCCACATCCCTGATCAGGGCAGCTCGTTTGGGCATCGTTTTTGGACGGGCTGGCTTGGGCTACGCGAAGCGCTGAGAATATAAGAGGAACTATGGGGGTGCATATGGTGTTTCCGCTGGCCTTCCTCCGACGGGAGTGGCCTTGTCTTCCCTTACCCGAGGAGAAGACGTCAAGTTCTCGAGCCCTGAGATACGAGGCCCTTTCTGGAGCGCCCAGATGCTTCCGAGATGGTTCCATAATGCCGAAGGTCGCCTCCCGCGTTGCGCGGCATGGCCCAGGTTGGCCAAGGCGGAAGCTAGCATAATGTCTAAAGACCCTAACATGGATGGCTCCGAAGTGGCCGTCGCGCCTCCACGGGATACCCCCAAGACGCCAGCCACACTGCAGATCCGAAGGATGTCCTATAGCTTGCGTCTCGTATTCTCGCCTTTTCGGATTCTGGCGCGTTTCTGCGGCTTTGAAGCGAGATGGCCCTAGAGGACCCTGAACAAAAACGCAACAGGGCTTTAAGGTGCCAAAGGAACCCCAAGAGCATCATAAGAGAGCCCCAAGAGGGCAATTCTCGAGCTCAACAGGGCCGACGTTAATCAGCACTGAGGTGTTAGTCCTTGGCCCCGAATGCCTTCAATACACGCGGGGTGCCTCCTCAGATAAGCCGCGCGCGTCCTGAGACGAACTGCGCGGGGCTGAGCTTGGCTAAACTGGACTGACATGGTAGTGACTGGACTGAACACACAAGTACGAGTAATGGGGCTGATAGCAGCAAGAGATTTGGTACGCCCGTGTAGCGATGCCCGCTGTTTCTCTGGATCCGACGACTGCCAACCCGTGGCTCGGGAGCTGGCGTCGGATGCCTTGAAGAAAAGTTTTGGGAGAGCAGAAAAATCAAAGTAGGCCCCCGTAAGGAGCACAAGATTTATTCAAGAGGCCTTCAAGACTTCAAAAGGCTCCCAAGTGGCCCAAAGCTGGCAATTGTGGGGATCTGCTTGGGCTGATCCCTCATGTGGTCCTTTGGCTAGCATGATGCCCTCTCTATGTAAGTCAATTGTGCTCCCTCACTGCGCTTCCCGTGAAAAATCGTTTGGGAATCGCTTCTGACTGGTCTGATGGACAATGGGCACAAGCTGGACAGCTCCAGGAATTTCGGCACCGATGCGAGCTGCCTCGCGGCCGCTGTAGACCTGCTCTGAAGTGGTAGCCGGCTGCTGCGAGAATCGGCAAGGCAGGCGATGATCGCAAAGCGTCCAGCTGGGCTGAATCTGAGGGGCGCGCGCAATCTCCTTTCGAAAGCTTCAGCTAACATTCGGTCGGGCATGTCCCCCGACAGGCGGACGTTGGAAGAAAAATGAAAACGAATCAGAACATACCCAAAAATAGCCAACAAATGCTCAAAACATCGTCCCCGGACTATTTGTTGCCTATTTTTATAATATTTCTCCTGTAGAGGGACGCGCCCGATTTAAAACTAATACTTTAGCCAAAGTTGGTCATCCCAGTGGTCGGCGGTGGACAAACCTCCCTTTCGTAAACCTCCATGGTCGTGAAAACGGCCTAGGACCGAAACCGGCTGACCTGGACCCGCAAAAATGACGGCCGCGACACATACATACACACTAATACCAGGATTCCCCATATTTTCCTATATTTTCAATGTTTTTGTCAATCCCCCCACTTCCCATGTCTTCCCATATTTTCTGGGGAATCGACGATTAATTGTGTCTGTGTGCTTTTTCCCCCTCCTTAAGATACAGGGCCCGAGATCCTTCAAGACAAGGCACCCAAACACTCCAACAAGACTTCTCGCGCGGCACCTCTCGAGGCCGCCACGGGCACTCCGTGGAGAAATGCGGAGCTGGGTTGAAGCCGGTCTGGGCTGTCTTGGGACCGCCTTGGGCTCGTCTTGGGCTTCTTCGGAAACGCAAGAGCGGTCAGCATCGAATCGACAAGTCGGGTCGGAACGGAAGGTGGCTAGAATCGTTTCGCACCGGCACGGGGTCGGAATCGAATCGAATCGGCTGCGCCGAACTGCACAACAGCTCCATGCACACGTCGGGCCGCATCGGACCGCCGGAGCATCGGAATCAAATCGGATCGGGCCAGCCAAAATCGATATCGAATCGGATCGATCGCATCTAAGTGACGAGGTTCGCGCCCTCTCCCCCGCACCCCCCCTTGGTGCTCCCCAGCCCCACCCGTGCGCAGGCGACTTCCTGAGGACGCTCGCTGTCGTGAAAAGGGCTTCGGCCTTGGGAGCACGGAGCCCTCGAACCGATTCTCGGCGGTCGAAGTCGAAAGACCTCTGGTGCTCTCCTCCTCCCCCAGGTGGCCGAACGGCCAGGCAGCACGTACAAGAGGAATGATCGTCACCATTGCCATGCGGAAGCGTGCTGATCGAAGATTGATACCTTCACTCTCTGTCGACAGTTCGGCGGATCCCCGCCTTCATCTGCAAGCCAAAGGCTGCGGCGGGCACAGGCTGCAGCGGGCGCAAGCACGCTGCTACGCTCGCTCCCGCTCTCCCTGGCACCCTTTCACTCGGGTCGGGAATTCGAGCGCTCTGCGCGGCCCTCCAGCACACTGCGCACCGAGAAGGCCACTGGCTGCAGCCCGCTCAAGTGCCACTCGCTGCCGAAGCCCAGCTTCACGAGGGCCGTCCGGTCGAGCTCGCCCTTCGTCAGCCCGTCCGCCAGCATGTCCACTGTGTCGATCCAGCTGAGCTGTGCCAGCTGGAGGCGGTCGATCTGCTCACGCACTGCGAGCGTCGGCACGAACATGCGCTTGTCCGTGGTCACCTTGATGGTGGCGGCGGAGACGGCGTCGAACACTGCCTTCGCGTCGATGGCCGCGATCATCTTCAATACTAGGTCGCCGGCCTCCTGCCGCACCCGCATCTCATTCGCTGTGCGTACTCCTTCACTGATCTCGGTCAATGCCACGTTCATGAGGGTGCCGGTGCCAAGTGCGTCCAACAACGCCATCAGCTCGGCGGCGTAGGTGGACCTCACTACGTTGTTCTGCTTTCTGCTGTACCAGTCAAGCATCACAATTCTGTACGTCGATCCGGTTTGAAGCACCTCGGCGTCAGCCTCCAGCAACATGATCACACATCCTCGGATCGCCAAGCCTTCGAACTCCATGGCGTGGAAGGCTGAGTCACTGACGACGGTCAACCGCACTCGTGTCATGTTCAACTCGATGAACCGAACTCCGAGCTGCTTCGAGTTCACCATGATCCACTTCAGCAGCCTGTTGATCTTCCGGATGTCTCCGACTGACGGCTTCTTGGCCTGCCGCTGGAGGTAGCTGACGTACACTGCAATGGGCGCCATCGTCTGCGTCATCCATGCGATTCCCCCGAGCAGCGACATGTATGCCGCGTGGGTCTCCACGCTCACCTGGCCATCTTCATTCTCCATCACATACTGGTCTTCCTGGAGCGGTCGCAGCTGCTGAACGTAGTGCTGCTGATGTGTCCAGATGGCCTTGGTCACAGCGTCCTGCTCGTGCATGATGCCGATACACTCAAAGCAGTCGTACTGGCGCTTCAGCTTCCCGAACTCGCTCTCGATCATGCTCAGTACCTTCTCCCGCAGGTAGTCCTCGCCGCCGCCCTTGAGGTCGTCCACGTGCGAGGACATGATCATCTGCAGCTCACCCTTCGCGTCGTGGTACACGTGGATCTGCGGGTCGCTGATGAGCGCCTTGCCTCCTGTCTTCTCCAGCACTTGCTTCAACATGACCTGCCGCAGCCTCGGCGCGTCCTTCAGACCGAAGCCGCAGCGCAGGAGCAACAACACCTCTGTCACAGGGTTGTAGTCCTCGTAGCCCTCCAGCTGCCGGAGGACTGGAATCGATCCTGGCGGCAGCGTGAACTGTACCTTCCGCTTGACCTCGCCGTCCATGGCGGCGACCTGCTCGAAGGTGAGCCCGCGCAAGAACGCCTGGCTGATGTCCGCTGAGAATAATCGCCACTTGCGCTGTGCAGTCACCTGATTCACCAGTCGTTGTCCCCATCGTGTCGTAGTACCCGCAAAGGTGGACAGCTCCGGTGACTGCATGTCCTCGAAGCCTCTCACCGTGAGCCTCGCGCGCACCTGCTTCTTGCCGTCGATCTCCTTCCACTTGAGCACCCAGCGGGAGTCGATGATGTTGGTCGCCTGATCCTTCGGGAAACGCTGGAATGCCTTCAACTCCGCCCAGCGCTGGAGCTCGTCCTTCATGGCCTGCCGTACTTCAACTTCGTGAGCTCGGGCCTCTTCCAGCGTGAGCACGTTCATCTCGCGCTCGACGACAATCTCGCGCTTGCCCGTGTGGTAGACGCGCAGGATGTAGATCTCCCCTGACCCAGGTCGTCGCATGTGCTCCACCTCAGGGTGCACCCAGTACATGAGTGGCGCACCTATGCCGATCTCGACGCAGTCGGGTCGGGAATTCGAAGAATCATCCTCTGCTGCTTCTGCCACATGATCTGCGTCCGGGGCTGCAAAGAAGAAGTCGCTCTGAGCGCACTCGATGTCAACAGCAGGCAGAGCGGCCTGCTCCTTCAGGTGCTGCCAGCTCGCGAACAGGTACTCCTGGGTCGCGTCGCTGTCCGAGTCGCCGTCGTCGTCTTTGCCACCATCATCCTTGATCGGGAGCACTGGCTCGTGCCGGGGTGCAGGGGCCTCAACTGCCGCCGCTGGCTCACCTGCACCTCGGGCTCCATGATCACGATCCGGGCCATCACGTGATCGCGATCTCTCTCGCGCTCCTCCGCCTGGCTTCACAGGCGGCTTCACGGGCGGCACAATGTTGTCGGCAGCAGCCGAGGCAGGAGAGGGCCCTCGTGGCCGATGGTGCCCTCGGTTGCTCCGACTCCTCGTTGAATCCGATGTTGCACTCGTCTGCCTGGATGCGCTCGATATGCTCGTGTCGGGCACTGGCATTGATGCACTTGTCTGTCTGGATGCGCTTGGAATGCTCGTGTCGGATATCGGCTTGTCCTGCCAGGTCATGTCGAAGTCTTCCTCCTGAAACTCTGGCGGTTCCTGAAACGGTCCGGGTTCAGGTCGTTCTGGCTGTTCACACCGTCGTGCGTGTGGAAGGTTGCCGAACCACGGACCCCCAAGATGCGGAACCTCGGGTTCACGTCGCCGAAGTTCGCGAACAGACTCGTCGTCCGTCATGATGAACTGCACGAAGCTGACGTCCCGCCAGTGATCCTTGCCAAATATCGGGGCCAACTTCAGTCGAGCAGATCCAGACGCCTCGTGGTACCAGGACAGCTCTGGGCGTCCGCGCCGCCACCACCACAGGAAGCTGTGGTCGCATCCGACCATGCCCTCGAGCACAGACACGCCGTTGCCCACTCGCGCGCCGATGCACCCCACCAGGTAGAAGCCACTGGCGGCAACGTGCAACACCGCCAGGACCAACTCGCTGAGCTTCTGGCTGTCCGCGGTCCGCTTCCACCCGGCGTCGAAGAGCCACCCGACGCGCGCGACCTTGCTGTCCAGCTGGTCCACGTAGCTCATGAGGGTGGCCACCGGGTCGCGCGATCCTGCCTCAAAGAAGATGTTGTTCGTGAACATCACGAAGTAGACGAGGCTTCGCCGAAGGTCCTGAGGTCGCACTTGAAATACTCGGCCCTGCCATCGAATGAGCACTGGAGGTCCGACCTGCAGCAAGGTAGCCGGGCCGCGCCACCCCGACTCCTCCTTCGTGCTCGGCGGCCGGTGGAAGTCAACCTGGTCGCCGACCGCCAACTGCAGCGCCTCGTGCGGGGCACGCGTCTTGGATCGAAGTGCGCGCCTCAGCCTGTCCTTCGCGGTCATCTCCACCATGGCTTGCATTGCAACTTCACGGAGCCGATGATGGCGTCGGGAGATTCCTGGAATGCCAGCCGATTGATCGTCGATCTGGCAGTCGCTCACCGGCTCGAACTCGGCGAGCAGGGGCGGAAGTCGGCCGTACACCGCCTGGTACGGGCTGTAGCCAGCCACGGTGATGAGAAGGTTCTTGATGAGGGCACACTCCATGATCACGATCTCCAACGGCATCACAATGCCTTCTTCCGCAAGCTGGGCCTGCACGCGGTGTATGATCTTGCGCACTAGGTCGTGATGACGTTCCACCAGCTGCGCGTGCGAGCCCTCCTCCTTGGCCTTCATCTCAATGCCCCAGCGGTCCAGCCACTGGTACGCCTCCTCACCGTGGAGACCGCCCTCGATGTCGGCAATCAGCAGCTTCATGGGGCCATGAGGACGTAGCCATCCCTGAGTAATGCCGGCGATAATCATGATCGCTGTCTTGCGTTCCAGGATGTACAGCACCGTCCAGCGGGTCGCCTCATCGATCATGTGTGCCACCATCTGTTCGCCGATGTAGAGGATGTCCCACTGCACCATCTCGTTGAAACCCGTCGCGAGCCGAGAGATCGTCATGCTCTTCGGTCCCGGTCTCGTCCATAGCCTACACACCCGGCACGTGTCGCAGATCTCCTTCACCAGGGCCAGCGTAGAGGCCGGAGCGCCGGCCTTGGTCAGCAGCTCTCTGAGGCGAGCTGCTGGAGCGTGCCAAAATCGAACATGAAGTCGTCGAAGCTGGCGCCGAACGGCTTCCTGGTGTGGACTGTGCAGCAGTCGAAGCGCGTGCCCGAGGTCAAACGCGGCCCAGCCTGGCTCGTCACTTCCTCGAGCCTGCGTCCCCGCATCCACGCCTCGAGCTGGCGCGGCTGGGGCCGCAGCCGGCTGCTCCGCGACGGGTGCCTCGCCGATGGCGTCCGCCGATCCCGAGGCGCCGCCTGATGGCTCGTCTGGCTCCGCCTCTCCAGCTGCTGGCAGACGCGATCGCAGTCGCCGTGCCGCCGCTGTCGCTCGAGCCACTCGAGGTCGACGCTCCGCAGGCACAGGTGGAGGCAGTGGCGGTTCAGGGTCGGCTCGCGCGGCGCTCGGTGCCTGGTTCGCAGTCGGCTCCTCAGAGGCTGGTGGTTGTCTCGGTCGTAGATCTCGAGGTCCAACGGCTCTTGGGAGAACACTGTCTGCTCGGCATTCTCCAGGTATTCGGGTATGTCGTGTGTCTGAGGCCGCGCGACCACTCCGGCAGGCCGGGCACTTCAGGTCGCGATTCGTCGGCACAAATCTATGCTTGCATGTCTCCCCTCGATCATGGGCTGGGTGGTCAGCCGGCCGATGATGCCGACATCCAGCACACGGCTGCGTAGCGCGCGGCACTCCTGCTGTAGACGCTGCTGCTGATGATGCCGCTGCTGCTGCTCCTGAAGCTGGCACTGCGGCTGCTGCTGCTCCAGAGGATGATGCTGCGGCTGCTGCTGCTCCTGAAGCTGGTGCTGCGGCTGCTGCTGCTCCTGAAGCTGGTGCTGCGGCTGATGCTGCTCCAGAGGCCGGTGCTGCGGCTGATGCTGCTCCAGAGGCTGCGGCCGCAGACTCCGTGACAGCGGCCGTGGGGTAGCACTCGTACACAACGAGGCGGTGTCCCTGATACCTCACGCGCTCCACCATCTGGGAAATGCTCGCTGCCAGCTCCCGGCAGATGCCAATCGCCCACTCCGCATGATCCTTGGGGTTCTCTAGTCGCCACTTGTCACGCTCTGGATGGGGTCCTCGGCCACCATGGGCCAGCAAAGCGTGATCGTGCTGGCCGTCGCAGCGAAACTTCCTGAGTCCGGCGATCAGGCGCTCGTCCGAAGCCCAGAACTCAGAGGACTTCTTGATCGGTAGTCCCGTTCGCCGCCCGATCTTGCCGGCCATGCACTGGTCGACTTGGCACCACACCACCGCATAGTTGTTGGCGATGTATTGCCAGTCGTCGAGCTTGTAGAAGTCGCTGCCCAGCGGCTGCTCCGAAACAAAGTGGCGCCCGGCGTCCATCTGAGTGCACGCCGCTGCAGCGGCGGTGCGGGCCAGCCCCACTGATGTCTTGCGACTGCGAAGCCAACCGTCGTAGTTGATGATCCTGTTGAGCGCCGAAAACCCCTTCAAGCTCGTACAGGGCGTGCTAATGAGTAAGACAAGAGGCTTGCCATAATACAGATATTCCCAAAACTGCCTGTGGCCCTCGTGCGTCATCAAGTTGCAGTCGCAAATGAGGTCGAAGTTGGGACCGCCCCGATATCCTCGTCGCACGAGTAGCCGGGTTGTTCCAGATGCGCCACCGCACAACTCCGCGACGTCGTCGTGCTGCAGGTGGCCGTAGTAGAGGTTCATGTGTGTGTCCATATCCTTGACTGAGCTGAAGAAGTTCTGCTGCTCGTCTTTCTCGTTCAGGTGCGCCTCCGAGCCAATCATACCAAAGAACTCGGACATCATGGTGTACGGTTGCTCATCGATGTGCTGGTCCTCCCTGAGCTCGGTGCCGTAGCACACCTCGTCCAGCTCGTATTCGTTCGCCACGTAGAGTTTCGTGAAATCGGAGCCGCAGTCGTCGAAGACCTGCTCCACTGTCTGTGGCCTCTTCTTCACCTTGCGCTCCGGGTCTGCTGCCTTGCGCGCCTTGTCGCGCGTCCTCTGCTCGGTGGGAAAGCTCGCGGTCAGCGCGCTCACCTTGCAGCCTGTCTCGTCGACGTCGTCCGCGAATGACACTCGGCCAGGTCGACGTCGCTCAGCTCGTGACTGCTCCTCGTCGGCTTCTCTCAAGGCCTCTGTCCGAGATCCTGGAGGCCCGGTAGTCGTCGGATCCGTCCTTGACGACCCGGGTCGGAAATCACCCCCGGCCTCACGGCGTGGTGTAGCTGTCGCAGATTGCGACAATCCGTCGGCTGCGTCGGCGTCGGATCTCGCGCCGCCGTCGAAGCAACCAGCGGCCACCATCCGCTTGACCAGAGCAGATACCCCTCTGGCCTTGAAGTCCAACCGATCTGCAGCAGTCTTTCGTGTAACATGTCGGCCTGCTGGCCAGCCGCAGCGGCACTTCGCGTCGTGGTCGTCGAAGTAGCTGCTGCTGACAATGCGTGTAGTCTGAGCTGCTGGTGATCCTCGAGCGTCACGAACCCCGAGATTGCACCATCGTAGTCGTCCTGAGTGCCACCTTCTGTCGTCCAGCAGCTCCAGGATGTCAGGCATGTCCCACACCGCGCTGCCCTCGTCCGCCTCGACGATGCAGCAGCGATGCCCTTCAAGTTGAGCTCGAGCGATCTTACACTCGAAACGCTTGGCTCGCTTGTCGTTGCGAGTGCCTCGCGACGTGCCCGGCTGAGCCAGGCTGATCCAAACGAGCTCCGGCTGCTGGTGGCGCAAGGAATCCGCCCACTTATCCTCCTGCCCGAGGAATCTGTGAACATCACAGTTGCGACCCACCGCATATCCGCATCCGTGCAGCGCGTTCTGGCACAGGTTCTGCAAGTCGCCGAACACCCATGCCGATGGCGGTCTCCCCTGTACTTCCCTGGTGCCCCCGCCGTCCCGAGCACCGAGATGGGGTGTCTTCGATCAGAGGTGCAGGCTGCCCGCGTCGGGCTGCCCGCTGGCGCTGTCCGATGCGGCACCGCTGCCGGATGACGTCGCCGTAGTGGTCTTCTTGCTTGCCGTCCTGGTGGATGCGGGAGTCGGTGCGGCTGCTGCAGGCAAGGATGTCGAATCTGATGTCGTCGAGGTCGCCAATGCCATCGTCCTCGTGGGTCCCGAACTCCCCGATGTTCCCGTCTCGTCGTAGAGGTCGCAGGGCAGCATGAGGTGACCGGCGTGGCTCTCTTCCAGATGATACTGCGATGATCCTGGGCTCAGCTGCAGGGAGTAGCCGCCCGGGCCGATGCGGTACATGCGATTGTTGAAGCAGTCGAGCAGTATGCGCTGGTCCCGCAGCGATGCTCGCCCGAGCAGTGCCGGAACGCTGCTGTTCGGGAGCACCGGCGCCTCGTAGGTCGCGGCTTGTCCTCCCTGCAGCGCCAGTTGATAGCGATGAGCGCGCGTGGCCTGCTGAGATCCTGAGCCCACACCACCAACCTCAAGCACCCGGTCGAGTGGGGTGCGGACCGGCGGTGGACGTCCTGCCTGCTGCTGTCGCGCTGCCATCCTGTTACCCCACTCATCGCCAGTAAGGTTGCCTGGGCTCCCGGGGTCCACCAGCAGAGCCTCGCCGCTCCTGTCCTTCATGCGGGTGCGAACCAAGTAGGTCTCCCCGCTGGCGTTCTCGAACTGATCAACTCGCCACCATGGGAACCATGTCGGGCTGGTCACGGCCGCTGATCGCCCAGCTGTCGCCGGAGGCTGATCCTCCGCAGCTCGGTCCTGCATGCTGGCCTGGATCTCCGTCAATATGTCGTGCTCCGCGACGTTGTCGCGCATGTCAAGGGTCTCCCAGCTCAGAGCCTCGCGGCAGGTGTCCTCGTCAAGGTCGTCGATCTGCAGGCCGGGCGTCCGGGCGTCCTCGGTAAACCAGTGCAGCACTCCAGACAAGGCTCCAGTCCGCGGCTGCGCGGGCACAGGCGCATAGGCGGCCAACGTTGGGTCGGCGGCAGGAGCCCCAGCCTGCTGCGTCCCCGTCGCGGCGCTGCCAGAGTTCCAGGACATGAAGTGCTTGCCCTTGCCCTTGCCCTTGCGCTTGGGGCAGGCGGCCACGAGGTGAGTCTCCGAGTCGCACTCGTGGCACCGCATGGTACGGCCATCACTGCCTCGAGGATTGGTGGCGCCGGGCGTGCCTGCCATGTAGTGCTTGCCGCCCTTCTTCTTCTTACCTTTTCCTCCTGCCAGCGAGCCTGGGTTCACCACCGATCCTCCAAAGTGGTATCCCTTGCCGTGGCCTCGACCACGTCCGAAGCTGCTGCCGCCCTTGCCGCTGTTCATACGAAGAGACCAGTTGCTGCGCGGGAAACGAGAGCGGCGGCTGTTCCGTTGAACAAAGTGGCGAAACCTACGCTTCGCGAACAGGTACTCGTGTAACAGGGTATCGTAGTCCCAGCCCTCGGAGTCGCCATAATACTCCTGTAGTTCCTCCTGAGTGAACTGGGAAGTGTCCAAGTCATCGTCGTCGGTCATCGAGTCATCGTCCCCGGGCTCGTCTTCGTACAAGTAGCTCGAGCAGACGGCGCAACAGTCGTAGCCCTCGTCGTCCTGGACCACGTATTGTTGTGGTGCGGATCCAACGTTCCCTGCCGCGCTGGATGCGCTCTGACCATACATGTATGCGGCCGTGTCGTTCCAGGTGTTGGCGCCGCTGTCATTCTCGCCCGTGAACCAATGATGACCTTGATATCCTTTGCCGCGGTACCCTTCGGACAAGTTCTGAGGTCCTGCATGAGTGTGCTCCGCAAAGTGGCCCTGCTGCCGCACCATCCCGATCACGCTGTTCAGCTGGTCGATCGTCAATGGCAGCTGGCCGCCGTTGGACTGCAGCACCAGGGGGTACACAGCCTTGGGCACATGCAGGGCCTCCAAGAACAGCAGCGAGAGCACCGGCGTCGGCAGCACGAGCGGGTCGTCCAGCTGCGCCACTCGGGCGCGCAGAGCCTCGAAGCGCGTGATCGCGTCGTCGACGCTCTCCCGCTCCTGCCTGCGGAATGTAAGCAGCTCGACGATGGTGCTGATCGAGGACTGGACATCGAGCGGGCCGAAGCGCCGCCTGAGTCCCGTGATCAGCATCTGCACCCCGTCCTCGACCAGGTTGCCGAGCTGGTCGAACCTGCCGTGAGCGATGGCCTCGACCAGCACCTCGCGGCAGAGGTCCCTCGCCGTGCCGCCGAGCCGCTGGACGATTGCTGGGCCGCGCTGGTGTTGCTGCAGCTCCGTCGCCGCGCACCACAGCATCACGTCCTGGACCCACAGCCTGAAGGGGTACCCGCGCTGCTCGAGGTACGGAGCCCAGAACGGCGGGACCTTGGATGTGCTCTGCTGCGCCAGCTCTGCCGCCGGCAGACCCTGTACGTTCTGCTCGTGGTGCTGTCCCCACTGAGGTGCAGGTAACCTTGACTCGCCGATGCGCTGGCCGCGCTGCGGCGTCATGGGCCTGAGGCCCGGTGGCTCTGTCGAGCCCGCTACATTGATCAGGATGACGAGGAGGCCGATGAGCAACCCCATCTTGCTCGGCGTCGAACTCGTCGAAGAGGAAGAGCATCCAGTACTTGATGAGATTGTGGCCTGCGCCAGGCAGGCCGCACATGGAGCGGTCGTAGCACAACGGGTACAACGCCTTGAGCTCGACTCGACCCCATTGCCGTGGTCGCCACGCTGCGGCCCCTCGCCGCCCACGTCGCACGCAGAGCCGGCCGGACTTGCAGCCGACCCTGCAGAGCCCACCGGCTCCGCTACCAGAGTCGAAAGACCTCTGGTGCTCTCCTCCTCCCCCAGGTGGCCGAACGGCCAGGCAGCACGTACAAGAGGAATGATCGTCACCATTGCCATGCGGAAGCGTGCTGATCGAAGATTGATACCTTCACTCTCTGTCGACAGTTCGGCGGATCCCCGCCTTCATCTGTAAGCCAAAGGCTGCGGCGGGCACAGGCTGCAGCGGGCGCAAGCACGCTGCTACGCTCGCTCCCGCTCTCCCTGGCACCCTTTCACTGTCGACTGCTGGATCCGCTCGCGCGGTCTGTTGGCGCAGGCGCCGTTGCAGCTCCAAGGTCAGGGCGTGCGCCGTGGCCGACGGCACAGCCGCAACTCGGGGGGGGGGGAGGGCGCGCCCTGAAGCCGGGGCCGCGCCGCCCAAAGAGGGGGCCGAGGGGCGAGGGGGAGGCCGCTGGGCAGGACAGGCAGGGCGCCCGTTGCCCGAGGCACCGTCGCCTCCGCGAGCGGACTCCCAGCTCTCACCGTTGCGCCACCCATCCCCGACGCCTCCCGCCGCGCCTGCTGGAGCGCCTCAATTCGCCTGGGGAGCGCCCCTCCATCGCTCGAGCGCTGATTGAATCAAGCGGCCGCAGGCCAAAAAACTTGCACCACCCATCCGGGGCTCGTGAACGGCTTGGCATGGCTACCCGCACGAAGAGCACGGGCGCCGAATGCAAGGAGTCCAGAGGCTCCCTCGCCTGCGGCGCATCTTTCATGAAAGACCGGCGGAGGGCCGCGGAAGCAAAGCGGGACGATAATTGTCTGGGTTTCGGAAGCTCTGGTGTCGGCCAGGTTGCGGAGGGACCTGCGCAGAGGTCTCGTGGGTCCTCATATCCTGCTGGCCTCCTTGGGAAATCCCCCAAGGATCTGGAATTGATTCATACACCTTCAACGGGTTTCCTTGTCCCCCCCTGTTCCATTCTCCGTCGTCCACAAATACCCAACGCTGGCATTCCTAGTGTTTCAAAGCGCCCGGATGAAACATCGGCTGCGTCATCGCCTCTTTCTTTGCCCATGCACATCCGACGTGCACGGCGTCTTCTTTGCATTATTTTTATTGTGCTCGTTCTTCCTCAACGTGCCCCACACCGACATCCAAAGACCAGAGATGTTCCTTGGCCCCACCCTCCGCCGACGATTCCTCGACAACTGGCCTCACCGTCGGGCGCGAAGCATGGCCTCGCAGAGCCTCACAAAGCAAGCGTCACCTTCGTGGGACAGAGCAGCTGATGGGGAGAAGCCTGGGAGAACCCAGAGGCGTTGCATGATGGGGGGGCCATAGGCGCGGGGTCGGAGAAACGTGCACCTTTCGTGCCTCTTTTGGGCCCCAGGGGCCTACTTTAGGGCCTAAGGTCCACAGAAGGCTCAACTTTCTTCACGCCCCAATGTACCGCCCCCGATTGCGCAACGCCCGGAGAAAGAGAGGTGATGGGAACCGGGGTGGGGGGACTGAAGAAGGGACAATCGAGGAGGTGGCCGGGAACGTACCCCTGGATGTGCACAGTGAGAACCGTTTCGCTCGTTGCTCCCCGCGCGAGAAGTCGGAGAAGCCGCTTTGGAGCATAGGCGTGAGTGTCAATGGAAGGGCGCCCTACAGCTTCCGCAGGCCTCTGGCCACATCGGCTCTAGACATGTATGCGTGGCACGTGCTGCACGTCCATGGAAAACGACAGAGGTACGCGCCGACGAAGACTGGAACGGCGAAGGGACCATCCTGGCTAATGAACTTCATGCCCTCCAGCTTCTCGCTGACCATCTCCAGTGAAGCCCAAAGTGATGCTGGCGTGGGGAGGCGTACGAGGGATGGGCTCTGCTACTCTGCTCCCAGGCGACCACTTTAGCCTTCGATTCTTTGGGTTCAATGCAAGCTGACCGCGATATGGCGACGTATGGCTGCACAAATCCCGCCTACGATTGGCGTGCAATTGCATTCGGTGGTAGTTCACTCTGTGTCCTCGCCGACTACAGCGAGCCACACCAATCAGGCGCCACAGGTGCCTTGAAATCCCACCCGCTCTTTAGGGCGTGAGTGGTCTAAGCATCTCGGGCTGTTCACCCCCCTCTGCAGCTTTGCGGAGGGGATTCCACCTCCACCTACCCCGTCTCCCTGGGTCTGGAGGCGGCGTTTCACGAGGCGCTGGAGCGTCCAAGATGGCCCCAAAGATCTCTCAACATAGCCCAAGATGGTTCAAGATAGCCTCAAGGAGGCCTCCAAGAGGGCACAAGACCGCCCCAAGACGGCTCCGAGTGGCCACGGAGCCTCCCAGAAACACCCCAGAAAAGGCCAAACCTCTTCCAGAACCGAAGGGGGTTTGTGTTCTTGCCTTCTCGCCTTTCCTCTTCCGATCGGCTTTGAAGGCCTCAAGATGGCTCCAAGATGGCCCAATAGGGGCCGCAGAGGAGCCCAAGAAGCCCTGAGAGAAGCCCAGGTTTAGGCCCCCAACGGGGGGATATTACTTGAGAACCCCCCCTTCTTTGATTGATGGCCCCAAGAGGGCCCCAAAAGCAGGCTTCAAGAGAGCCGCAAGAGGGCCGCAAGAGGGCCCCAAGAGAGCCCCGAAGGGGCGAAACATGGCCCCAAAATGGCTCCAAGAGAGCCTCCAAGATACTCTCAGAGAGGCCCTCGCCGCCATCGTCGTCGTCTGCTTCGTCGTGAAACCGCCAGCGTACTGGTGACCCGTGCGGATCACCAGTGCGCCCCCTGCTCCCTCCTGACTCCTGTTCCTTCTTCTCCGCCTGTTGCTGCTAATCCTCCTCCAGCCCCTCTCCTCCTCCTCCTCCTCCGCTTTCTCTGGTCGTGGCTCACTCCCGGGATTCATGCTGCTACACATCCCTTCTCACGGGAAACTCGGCTGGTGATTGTTTGTGGGTGGGCTGGTGGGAATACGCGAAACAGATCAACCCTGCTGCTCCCTCGAAGATTACAGCGAGCCACCATGTAGGATGTAATAGTTCAACATGGGTTCTGAAAGAGTCTGGCGGGACCCAAAGTCAAGGTGAAAGCAAGGAAAGCATGATACCTGCCACCGTACAGCGAGGCATTTGGTGGAGTGTCATCAAGTCCTGTCGAGCTCTGTATTTAGCGCTGTATATACTCATGAGCCCCAGGCTCCTGGCCCGAGTTCTGGGGGCTTCTCCCAACCTTGAAGACCCCCGCGTGACTTCTCCAGAGGCCCGGGGGAGAACCCGGGGGGCCCTCTGGGGCTCGACAGGCGTGCTCCGGAGGCCACCTGGGCCTCCCCAGAAGGGCAGGGGGCGACTTGGGCCGGGGCCACCTCTGGCAACAACGGGCGGTTTGTGAACCAGCTGCATGCCGGTCTGGCAACAACGAGCAGAGAACTTATCGACAGACACAGGTCCTGCAACGGACGGTCTGGCAACAACGAGCATATAACTTATCAGGCGTCTCCAGGGGCCGGGAGCGACTGTATCGAGGAGAACGCCCGGCGGCGAGGCCAAAAAACAAGCGACATGCAGCAGATTCCCCCTCAACGGCGAATGATGCAAGGGTTCTGTAGAATGTATATCCGCCGGCCCCCTTGTGGGGCCACCAGGCTGTAGGCGCGAGGTTCGCAGTTTCCTGTACCAGTTGTAGCTTGTAGTTTCCAGTGTTACAGTTCTGCTTCTTGCTGGTTACTGTAACTAGTTGATTGACCGCGCGTTGTCTGGCTCGAAATCGACACCCCTCACGCAGATCCGCGGGGTCAGGGTCCAAAAACACAGGGGATTTGCTACATTTCTGAAATCCGGTGCCACCCCTCACGCAGTTCCGCGGGGTCAGGGTCCAAAAACACATGGGATTTGCCACATTTCTGAAATTCGGTGCCACCCCTCACGCAGATCCGCGGGGTCAGGGTCAAAAACACAGGGGATTTGCCACATTTCTGAAATTCGGTGCCACCCCTCACGCAGATCCGCGGGGTCAGGGTCCAAAAACACAGGGGATTTGCAACATTTCTGAAATTAGGCGCCACCCCTTACGCAGATCCGCGGGGTCAGGGTCCAAAAACACAGGGGATTTGCACATTTCTGAAATTCGGTGCCACCCTTCACGCACATCCATCGCAAGGCGTGGTAACCCAAACTGCGAGAACTCCCTCGGCCCTTTAATCGCAAGGTGTGGTAACCAAGCCCGTAAACCATACACGTCTTACCAATCGCCAGGTGTGGTAACCCCTCTTGTGATCAGTTGGTTTTGCTGATTGCGAATCGGCTTCGCATGAAGTTTCGATACTGCTTCACGACAGCGCCAAGGCCTCATGACTTAGCTCTTCCATGGCCCATTCTCCGAGAGAGGGGGCCGGCGGCAGGGGGCGAAGCCCTTACGGATAATATTAGATGTAAAAGCATGTTGGATGGCACATCGCCAAGGAAACTGACAAGTTGGTGGGGCGCATCATGTCTGGCGCAGCCTGTGTCGTATCTGATAGATAGAACTTAAACGGGGTGGGGAAATCGCCTCTGGGTGGGGGCGCGGTGCCTGGGATCACCTATTGCGCAAACTACGGAAAGCAGACGGAGTAGGATAACCGCAGCTCGGTGGGGCGCGGGGCGTGTGGCGCAACCCGTGGCACAACCCATGCTAGTCAGACAAGGCGAGGGAATCGCAAACATTTTGCATGCGGGGCGCAGCCGGAGACCGAGGATCCAGGTCTTGGACGCTGAGGATCATGTTGAGCTTCGAGGGATCTCCAGAGGCCTGAGGGGAGCTTCTGAGGACTCCGCGTACCTGCTGAGACCTCAAAGGGCCTTCGGGGACGCCCAGTTGCTAGCCACCGGGTGAGAAGCTCCAAGACAGCTTCCAAATGGCGGTCTGGGTTGAGGAGGGTCGAACCCGGCTTCCCAGAAGCAAAATTCAACATCGCGCGGATTGATCGTCCGATCTGATCAGGATCAGAGGCAGGAGAAAGTCTCTGCCTGCTTGCACCACGCTGGAGATCACGGAGTACGCTGCAATGCCCACTGCCACCGCGGTCACACGCCTCGGCTTGCAGGAGATACGTAGCTAGATCGGAAAGGATGCATCATTGGGCACGCGTTCTGAACCATCACCTCTAGCCTCCATGTGACCAGCCCTGCAGCACGGATCCTTGTTGCAAATCGCTGTAACAACGAACCAGGTACCAGCGCAAAAACCACTGGGTCTGCGAATCCTCCTCCCCCCCTCTCCCCATTCGTCTCCTTCAGCTGCTACTGCTGCCAGGGTCGCACATTACTGGGGACAGAAAGGCCTGGGTCTGAGGAGCATGATCTGGGCAAGGGCCGTGGGAGTCTGGGCTTTTGGGCGCCAATTCGAATTTGGGCCCCAGCGTCCTGCGGCTATCCGCGAAATCGAGCGTACCGCAGCTCCTGCACATGCCGACCTCGCAACAGGACCGACGTACCATCGAGTTGAGACCGCGGGACCATGGCACCACGACTGGGCCAACAATTGGGACCGTCCACGAGACCAGCAGCTCGGAGGACGAGGAAGAGCAGCAGAAACATAATCAGCAACACCACCACCGACACACCAGGAGGATCAGAACTGGGAACAAGAAGATTTTGAGTAGGGACCGACCAGCCCGGCATTTCTCTCGGCCTACCACCACATGTTCTTAGAATCCAGAAATGCTCCAAGAACAAACACCATGGTCTTAGAACGTAGACCCGGCGTGCTAAGACAAGACAGTCTCGGCGAGAAATGGTCTAAGACAAATTCGTGCAGACCACAAACAATTATTGGAACGTTCTTTGGTATGCCTTATAGGCGAGCGAGGACGCTTCGCCACTTTTTGAGGAGCGGGAGAACAGGAAACGGGACGGCAGACAAAGTGGACTCAGGTCGGGCATGTCCCCCTACAGATGGCTTTTGGGCGAGCAATAAAACATACCCAAAAAATACTCCGACAACGATGCAGGCGTTGTCCATAAATCGTCCCCAGACTACCTTGTGACTATTTTTTGAATACCCCTCCTTTGGAGGAACAGGCCCGACTTAAAAGTGGACGCACGCCGCGAGGGCGAGGGACCGTCCGAGGCGCCACGCTGGTGCCCCCACGACGGCCGGGGCCCCAAAAAGTTCCGCCCGCCTGTCACTATTCGGGGAGACATGAGACTCGTTTCGGGTATGGGCAGGGCCCCCTTTGGTAAGACGTGGTCTGGTGAAAACGGCCTCGGGCCCATACCTGGCGTGCGCAAGGCTGGAAAATGACGGCCGCGACGACCTCTCAAGGACCGAAAACGGACAATTCACTAGTCGACGTGTCAGGGTGGGGGTTCTGCCCGGACGCAAAGAAAGCCGCTCTGCGATGTTGGCGCCACGATCTGAGCATTTTCTTAGGGTGGAGGGCTCAAGGTGAAATCCATGTGGGCTTCTGCACCTCGAGAATCGATCCGTCTTGTGATCCACCGGAACGGCATGTCAGATTTCACCCTTTGCCCTCCGCCCAAAAAGAATGCTCGGATGATACCTCTTCCGCGGCGAGGGGGACGAGGGTGTGCCTGCTGCGGCAGCTCATGGGCGCCTCCCGTGACATTCGGCGGCACGCAGAGGGGCGGGTGAGGGGGAGGGGGGGGGGAAGGCTTTGAGACTCGGGTGCGGGGGACTCGGGCTGGCCTGACAGGACCATCCTAAAAACGACGCGACCCAGCCTGAAATTTGACGCGAGCTCCCGCTGCAGACATCCCACGAGAACCGTACCGTCACAAAATCCAGGACGCGCTCGTCAAAAAACGTCGGCAAACCCGAGTTCCCGCTTACTCGAGTCTTACGTCTCCCCGAACTAACTGCCAGGTGGCCTGGCATTGGTGGTGCCAGCCAGCAGGACCTACGCCTGGTCACGCCGAGGATGATCCAATGCCAAGACTGGTCAGATAGCTCGCTCCAAGATGCAGCAGAATTGCCAACTTGTTAGAGCACCACGGCGCGAACACTGAAAATGGAGTTACAATCCGAACGGTACCCGCAAAGGTTCATGGGCATGCATGGGCACAGAAGCATCGAAAGCCAACACGCTCACCCTGCAGCAAGACCATACCTTGCACCGGCACCTCCCACGCCCTCCCTCCACAGCCCCAACGGGCGCACGCCTTCCACTGTGAGATAAGACCGCCGCGGCCACCCCAACACACGACGCTAAACGTGCAGAGCTCTTTCCACCATGCGCTCGGCGCTGCGCGCGTGCTCGCACAAGACCCGCCTTCCGGCACCGACCGCCCGACGCCGAGGCTCCCGGCGGGCTGCCCGTCCTGGCTCGGCCTCGCCAGCGACAGCCTGGCGCTGAGCAGTGACTGATGGGCTTGTTTTCCACCACCACAACCACCATGAGTTGGTTGGAGGGGGAGGGGGTCCTCCTCCTCCTCCTCCTCCTCCTCCTCCTCCTCCTCCTCCTCCTCCTCCTCCTCCTCCTCCTCCCTCCCCCGCCTCCTCCTCCTCCTCCTGTTCCTCCTCCTCCTCCTCCTCCTCCTCCTCCTCCTCCTGCTCTCCTCCTCCTCCTCCTCCTCCTCCTCCTCCTCCTCCTCCTCCTCCTCCTCCTCCTCCTCCCCGCTCGCGGGGACTGGCATCGGGAGGGCAGGCGGCGCGCCTCCTGACCTTGCCCGTCGAAGTCTCCGGCAGCGGAGCAGGCTCCTGCCGGGCGCAGCAGGGCGTCGGCGGAGCTGCGCACGGGATTGGGGGGGGGGAGGGGGGCAGTTAGGAGGCAACTACTGGGAGGTCCTCGTCGGGAAAATAAAAGAGGATTAAGCCCCTTCGGGGGGCCGCTACGCCGGATTAGGTCGCATATTAAACGGCATTAAGCCGGATTCAGCTGGATTAAGCCGGATTAAGCGGGATTAAGCCGGATTAAGCGGGATTTCGGACCAGGGCAAAATCAGAATTTGACCTCCCAGGAATTGCACCCGAAGAGCAGGGGCCCCAAGGAGCCCAGGCCACAAGCCACTTGAAGAGCCATGCTCGGGCGCAACGAGCCGGAAGCAAGCCAGCCCAAATGGAAGTGTGATGCTCCGCGTTGCCTCTGGAGGGCGGGTGAAGTCGTCGACCACTGCTGTGTGCTCCCAGCTGACTCCGAGGGAGGGCAAACTGAAGGGAACGGTGAGAAGCGCGCGGCTGGAGGAATGGGCGTCACAAGAAACGTCACAAGGTGAAGCGGGAGGGCGCGGTGGTATATGACAGGAAGGTAGGAGACGGAGCAACGACACGTCGGAAGAGAGGCTCTGGAACGCAGTGGGCCAGTATGAACAACAGAGCAGAAGGTGTAAGAAAGACGGAGACACAGAACACGAGGCCCAACGACAACTCACAATACGCTCAGTTGTTGCAACAAGATCGGTCAGCATTTTGGTGTGTGCGAGTCAGGCACACAGATAGGTAGGTGAGGGTAGGACAAACTCCACCGTTATTCCCCCTCATGCCGCTCATTTTCTCCCCCAGGCCTGCGTGCAAAAGCAAGAACTACATAGCCAGAAATACGATGGCCGATTTCAGGGTTTCGGAATGCGTGGGGACAAACACATTCACGATTCCCCTGCCAATGCTTGCACGTAGGGGTTCGTCTTTCTGATACATGAAGAATTGGATGGTCCGTCAAGGTTGCGCTTGGTGCCCGGCTGGTGGTGCTCGGTTGTGGCCGCCTGGTCGGCGCCACGTGTGCTGGGATTGTCTGTCGAGGGTTCGCCTGGTGCCCAATTGACACCTGGTCGTGGGCGACTCGCGGGCGCCACGCACGCTGGGTTGGTCTGTCAAGGGTTTGCCTGGTGCCCAGCTGGTGCCCGGCTGGTGCCCAGTCGTTGACGCCTCGTGGGCGCACTGTGCACTGGGGTGGTCCTTCGACGCTTCTCCTGGTGCCCAGCTGATGCTCGGTCGTGGGCGCCTCGTGGGCGCCCCGTGCGCTGGGTTGGCCTGTCGAGGGTTTCGGCCCGGTACACCGTCGGTGCCCGGTCGTGGGCGCCTCGCGGGGCCCCCCCGTGCGTTGGGCGGGTCTGCCGATGGTTTCGGCCCGGTGCCCGCTCGTGGCCGCCCGTGGAGGCTGCGGCCAAGGTGGGCTTTGGCGTAGTCTGGCAAGCCGATCCCGGCTGTGGGTGGGGCATGCCCTCCTGCAGGGGCGGATGGTGGACGAACAGTGAAAACTGGCCAGCGAAGGTGCAGAACAAAGCCTAAAGAACACTAGAAACATGGTTCCCAGACTTGTTGTTCGACTAGTTTTGACTACTCGTCCTGTAGAGGGACATGCCCGACTCAATCCTGGCTGCGCTACTGTCCGCTAAACTTGATCGGGGATGACGGCGCGTGCTACGGGATGAGCGCTGAGCAACTCCTCGCGCCAGTCTCACCTCGCTCCTAGATGAATGCCAACGCAGAGGACATGTACTAACCAAAGGGCGGAACGGTCGTAACTGGAGGTATGGCGGGCCCCATCCTCGAACTCCTGGGGCTTCCCACTGGATCGCAAAATGTAGACCAGGATCATGAATATACGAGGGGAGAGCGTCCATCCTCGACGGTGGTGCCTCCGAATCGCCCCCTTGCTGTGTATCTCCGAGTTCCCCTGCTTTTCTCAGCGGCCAGCTTGGGGGGGGAAACTCGGGGATTGGGGGAGAGACATCGCCTCGCCTGCGAGATTACCTTACAACATTGCGGCTGACGCGGAGGCAGAGGAAGAGGCAGCACCGACAGCAGAGACATAGGGCATGGACGGGCGAACATACACACAAACGCAATGACCTAACTGAGAGGCGATTGCAAAGACACAGTGACCGGCAGTCGGAAGAAACAAGGCATCTGGAATACCTGACCACAGATATGGGGAAAATCGCACTGCTACATAAGGAAAAAAACCGCACCTGCCACTGGTAGACTGGTTGCACTGGTATGCCCTGGACAGTCACTGGCTGGCCTGGCCCCAAACTAGAGAAGGAGCTGACGCAACGCCGTCAGCGAAAACAACGCATCAAGATGGTGCTGTCTCTGCGGGAGAGGCTCAACTATCCACACTTAGACGGTAGACGTACAGGATGGTCTGCGACAAGAAGCATGGCGTAAGGGGTTATGTTGAAATAATTCCTATGGCAGCGACCGCCGCGTAAGCAAGCAGCCGCAATCTGTCAAAACCACTGCAGCAAACCAGAGTGCAAGGCAGGTGCCAAGCACGCGAGCATGCCAGCAAGCAGTAGATATGCATTCAAGTCAGTGGGTGATCTCCACGCTGCCTGGCAAGCCCAGGAAGCGACGAGCACGGGCCAAGTGTACCCCGAGGTTCGCATGAGGACGCCCTCCGCGCCCCTCCCCACCGACTCTGCGCAAATCTGCGCGCGAGGCCAGCAATCGGACCCTCGGTCTGCCCGCACCCCCGCACCCTCCTTCACTGGGCTCCTCTACGGTAAGGGGCATTCCTCGCTTCGCGGGCGAACCCTCGGGTGAATTCGAGCATGCAGCGCACAGAAGCCCAAACAGGTCTCACACTACGCCTCACGCGCCACCGGCCGCGGCAGCGGGCCTCCTCCTCGGAGGGAAAGCCGTGGCCCTCAAAGGCCGCTGGCCTGCTGCCACCGCCGCGCCTCGCGGGTCGCGGTGAGGGTATCCCGTAGATAAGGAATCCAGGGTCTGGAAGCTGGTGGAACTCCAATCGTGTACCGGCCATGTTCAGCACCGCCCCGCCCACATGAGATAAGAAATCCTGCGGGGTCTGAAGCCTCCTGGGCACATTCCTTCACCAACTCTCCCACGGTGCCCTTCTCTCGGGGTCGACAAGGGCAGGATGGCAAAAGGGTGGGCCAGCGAATCGGCTACGTGTCCATGTTTTTGTCTGGCGTCTCGGAGCGCCAAGGGCGACCACCCATCGATGAGTGCGCCCAGCGACGGGACCGAGACTGGCTGCATGCAGAAGACTCCGTAACCACCCTTCTCCAGGCCCCACCTTGTCCCCCCGCGATGGGGGGGGACAAAAAAACGACGCCGCTTCTCGCCAGATCTCTGCAGGGGTGCCTTGTTCTGACCAGGATCTCGCAGCGAATCCGTCTGTGGCCCACAAAGGCCCCCCAGGAGGTCCAAAAGGGCGAAAACGAATAAAGCGCATCGAAATCTACATGATTCTTTTCCCCTGAATCCCCCCGCCCCTCCCCACCTCCCTCCCGCTGCGCGCCGACTGCTCGCAGCATGGAGGGCGGAGCCGTCGACGGGGCCCCTGGCCCGAAAGGCCCGCCCCTTTGGCACCGGCATCAGGGGGAGACCTCTGTCCAGCCCTCCTGGCACGGAAGCCCCCAAGCTTCATGGCAAGAGAACCTTACTCCGGGCCGGCGACGTGCCTCGGGAGTTGTGGGCCGAACGAGTACGTGAGATTCGCAGTTGGACGGGAGAGCGGATACATTGACAACAAACGCAATGTGGTGCGGTTCTCGCAAATGGGCAGGAAAACGGAAAGATTCAGGACAAACAGCGGTGCGACCCGAGCACATCAGCAGCGCGGGGACGTCACACCCCGAACACAGGCCGCTTGCGCCAAGAATGGGCTTGTGCTCGAGAAGGAGAGCGCGACGCAGACATCCGCTGGGATGCCGGCCGCTTGAACGCAATACATGTCAAGACAAGCGAGCGGACACGCACATCAGTCCGGATGTGGAGCCTGCGACAACATACGCGTCGACATATACAACGAATCGTAATCCGGCGTCGGTCCCAATCGCGAGAACTGCCCTGCCTACCCTGCGTTATCCTCCTCGTGCTCACGCCTTACCACCCCTTCGCTACCCCCAATCGGTGATGATATTAGCCACAGACGCTGCGCACCGCCCGGCCCGCGCGTGCGGACTACAGGGCCATGGTGTGCTCGCTTCCATGGAACCGGCTGGTGCCATGAGGCGCCAGGTCGATACTTATCAGAAAGGCTTCGTCCTCTTCCTGAGTAGGTCATCGGGCGTCTTCAGAAGGGGGGTTTAGCAAAAGGGGGAGTTCCCGTCAAAACAGTAAGGCGGAAACAGAAAAGCGGAATCGTGGCCCCCTGATTGTCTGCCATGCAAAGCCACGGGGCTGGTCCAATCGAGCAAGTGAAGAAGAAAGCATCCATTATTGCCCCTCCGTTCGACAGTGAAGAATGGTCAGAACCATTTGTTGATTTCCCACCTTGGCGGCGCGCACAATGGGGAGGGGGGACAGCTTCTCAGAAGTTGGCTGTTTCTTAGAAGGCGCCGGCTACCGACAAGACCCGCGCCTTCTAAGAAGCAGGGGTGCTTCTGGGAAGCGTTCCCCTCTCCCCCTACCCCCCTCTGCGCTTGGCCGATAGACCCTCCCTTAGGCCCAGCGCCCACCTCTACTTACCCCCGAGGTCACTCTCCCCTCCACGCCCCTCCCCCGTGGAGGCGAATTAATGAGGGGGGCGATGCTGGGGGGGGGAAGAAGAAAGGTGCCCTTTTTGTTCCCTGAAGGCTCCCTTCTGGACCCGAAAAGTTCTCTTAAGGGGCCCTCGAGGTCCCCTTTCTGGCAGCCCTCGCTACTCCACCATTTCCCAAAGATCCGACGTAGCGAAACTTTGGCAGCATCGTACACAAATCACGCCCGGAGCCCTAGACCCCATCTTTCTGCGTCACTCTTCGAGCCGGATCGATCTGTGAGGGCCCCGAGGCCCGAAGAAACGCTAAAACGCCCGGCTCGAAAAAAATGAGACGCCGAGATCTCAGGGTTCTCGCCCCCCCCCCCCCCCATTACGCTGCCTCCCAGCACCCGTCCCTCCGCACGCTCCGGGCGGCCCCCCGCAGCCGCGGGCCGCGCGCCTCCCCCGCTGGGCCGCACGGTCGGGGGCCCCGAGGGCCTCGCCCGCGTCTCGCGCCGCCGCCTGCGAGCGCCTCCTGCGGAGCTCCCGCGCCGACCTCAGAGATCCCGCGCGGACCTCCCAAAGATCAGGTAGCCCCATGCGAGCGACAACCCAAAACGGGTCTCGCGCGGGATGACATAGAGAGACCTCACGCGGTGGCTCACGCGGGCCCCCGGCGCGGCACGCTACATTGGACACGAGGGCGCTCACGCGCGACCTTACACGAGGAGCTTACGCGCGAATGTCAGCGCAGTCGAACCCGTTCTTTGCGTCCCTCATTTGCTGTTCCCCGATTCTTCGATGCCGAGGGCGGCCGAGGCGAGCTCCTCCTGCTGCGCCCTCTTGAGCCCCGCTGCCTCTGTCTACAGGCTGACGGCCTCCCTGGGGTCGAGCTCGCCGCGTACTGCCAGGTGCACCGCGTGCTGCAGCACCTGACCAGCCTCGAGCGTACCCCCACCCTAAGGCCGAGAAGCCCAAATGCGATGAGAATCTTAGGGGGGCGTCCTCAGGAACCGCGGGAAGCCTTAGAAGAGTGATGCCAATCCTGGGGATAGGGATACGGTCGGGCCGCTGAAATGAGGAACGCTAAATGAGGAACGAAGCCCGTTCCAGGCCCCAAAACCGCCTTCGTTCATGAGAAGGTTTGGAGGAACGGCCATGGAAGGACCTCAAGAACTTCGAGCCCCTTCCGACCCAAACTGCTCCTTCCTTCGGCGTCTTGACTGTATGTCTCAGGCGGGTAACCTCCCCTCCCTCCTTCCCCGCCCCCGCCCCTCCCCGCCGACAGCGTGCAACTCCCGGGCGGAGCCGTCGCTGGGGCCCCCGGCCCGCAGGGCCTGCGCATCCGGCACCATGCGGCGGCGCGCGGCCCGGAGGCACGGCGCAGAGGGCGGAACCCCTGAGCGAGCTGGGCGCGGAAAACGGAGCAGTGCACGAGGGCGTGGGCGGCGATCTCTCTCTCTCTCTCTCTCTGTCTCTGTCTCTCTCTGTCGCTCTCTTTCTCCTTTGTCTTTGCTAGGATTGACTCTCTCTTTCTCCCTCTCTCTCTCTCTCTCTCTGTCTCTGTATATATGTGTATACATGTGTATATCCATAGATGTACACCTATGACATTTCGCCACACACATGTTTATATACATGCTTATATATAAAACCACATCGACGTGTGTATGTGTATATACATACATACATGCAAACATACATACATACGTACATACAGGTGCTGTTGTATTTTTCTCGTGGAGACAATATCTGCTACAAGGTGCCACGCGTCGACGCGACTCGACGCCAGTCGATCGAAACACAGAGCAAGTCGAGAGCCGTGCGACTAGGACGGCTCCCGCTCAAGACATCCCGAAAGAGACGGGCCAGGGAGGGGGGGACGAGAAGAGAGGCTTGAGCATAGATTATGGCAACAAGGAGACATCACCCGAAGCAATACCCCTCACCTTCCCGTGCAAGCACACACAGGTGCTGTTGTATTTTTCTCGTGGAGACAATATCTGCTACAAGGTGCCACGCGTCGACGCGACTCGACGCCAGTCGATCGAAACACAGAGCAAATCGAGAGCCGTGCGACTAGGACGGATCCCGCTCAAGACATCCCAAGCCCGAAGAGGGCTACCCGAACCCTGAAGGTTCCCAGGGACGGGCGGGACAGGGCACCAAAAAGCGAGACATAAACGAGCCAAAAACTCACAGCGCTGGCGGGGAATAAGGCCAGCGTCAGCCAGACACGAGGGAGGCAATGCGATCGCGCTCATGGGACAACAGCGTTCGGACCATGGCTTTACACAAGCTGGGGGGGTAAGAAGCTGCTATTGCCGTCCACTTTACACCAGATGGAGCAGCCCCTTCCAGTACGAAGTGTTTTCTACCAGTGCGACTGCACACCCCCGAGCTCCCTTTGCACCTTCGATCGAATTTCAGTGTATCGGACGCGTCAATGAAAAAGAATGCAAGCTTTGTGCGTTTACGCCAACAACGTCCGAACTGACACTGGTCAAAAGTCCTAGTGTGGCCATGGAACCTTCTGAGGAGATCAATGAGCTCGGGGGTATGCCAAACTCTCGAATTCACGGGATGCTCTAGAAGCGTTGGAACCTGACATTTACACAGCACACGTAAAAGCTGTAGAGCACACCGAAAGATATTGTTACCGCGCTCCAAGCGCTCACACTGACGCTTTGTCAACTCGTTAGCATCGAGAACCCACGGCTGCTCTTTCGAACGGATAGGGCCGTCTTTGCCCCTGTCCGCCGCTCCACCCCAGGCATCGCACGGTGGGCCCATGACCGCACCTATCACTTCCTTCCCTTTGACTGCAGCAGTCACACATTTGATCACTCTGGGCACCGTCAAGTCCTCGCTGGGCCCATGGGCCCGATCATACGCACGAGCGTTGCAACCTTGCTGGACAGCGGCCCGCGCGACGCCACCAGTCCCCGCATAGAGGTCGAGGATGTAGCGACTCTTGAAATGCCCCGCCAATGGGGCGCCACGCCGTGCAGTCTGCCGGGGGGTATGTCCTCGAGCGCTGCTCCGCATGCTTCCAGCAGCTGGGATCTCCTGTCTGTGAGCAGCTCCCAACTCCTCGCCAACCTGACGTCCTCGTCGTACCGCTGGACACTCATGATGCCTCCGCCCTGTCTGCGACGCTGAGCCTCCGGCACCGTCCGGCGCAGCCCGGAGATGTCGATCGACGGTCCCACGTGCCGCCTCGGGTGTTGCACTATCGTCTCTGCGATGCTCGGCTCGCCCCGCGGAAAGTTCGGCTTCCGGGGACTCTGGAGATACGTGAACGTCCGAACCACCTCGTCCTTCGGCCCATCGGCCATCACTCTCTGGACGGGCCTTATGAACCGCAAGAGCGGCGGGTCCCTCTCGATGCTGGCGTCGCTGAGGGTGGTGCTGCTCCGCTCGATCCGCTGTGAGAGGGAGAACAGCAGGCTCCAGGAAAGAGAGATGCCACCTGCAGGCGCAATCGTACCACGCGCCTTGAGACTCATCAGCTTGCTCGGCCTCCAGCGGCTGCCCAGCGAGACCGACCGCAGGACCGAGGCCTGCAGAGGGAAAAGACCAGCCAACATCCTGGCCACTCCAGCCCACAACGTCAGAGACCAGCTGCGCCAGCTGCGGCCGGGGGCCCCCTGCCGCCAGCCCCTCCGGCAGCGGCAGGCCCGGGGAGCCCGCGGCGGCCAGGCCTCGAGAGCTCCGCCGTCGAAAACATCAGGCCTGCAAGGATCTGAATGCCCTCGCTGGCGCCCGGGCTCATGAAGAGGAAGAAACTGAGGTGCCCCATTCGCGTGCCGTCGACCAGCTCGCCGTGCACTCGCGGGCGCTCCCCCTCCGAAGAGTCGAAGCCCGCCGACCGGCTCCGGTACCGCCCCAGCACCTCCAGCGCTACCGAGCTCTCGCCGGGGGAGCGGTGGGCGCCCCTGGCCGCGGCCGTCAGGGCGGTGATCAGCTGCTCTCGTCCTCTCTGGCGGCCCGTACGCTTCCGCGTTGCTCCCAGCGCGGCGCCAGGCCCTGGCCTCCCCTCGCCGCTGGTGCTGCTGCTCTCGCCGACGTCTGCCAGCCTGGGCGCGGGCTTCAGGCGATCCTCGTTGTCGGAGGGAGCCCTTCCGCGGCGCCTGCCACTCAGCCTGCCGCGCTGCGCCGGCTGGGCGCCTGGCGGCCGCAAGGTGGCCTTCCTCTGGCTGGCCGGCGTCTCGAGCCCCCGCTGGCCCCCGCTCGGCCGAGCCTCCGACGACGGCAGCATCGCATACCGCCAGCGGCGGCCCATCGCCTCTCTGGCTCGTGAACTCTGGATGATCGCAGAAAGTACGCGGTAAGCATGGAGGCGAAATGTCTACGTAATGGGAGAGGGGAGAGACAGAAGCAGCAACAGCTACTTTACACAGGTGCGGGGATTGCGGGCATTTCGAAGTCCCCTTTAAACTGTTGCCTTTGACACTCAAAAACGAAGGAATCACATCTACTAACGTCTTACTGGCGCTGCTATTCTCAAAAAGCCTGGCACCCTTATCCGAGAAGTTCAATTCGGAAGGGATCCAACGCACAGCCCCTAAGACATTCCTGGCCAAGCAGTGGGCCTGGAAGACACGAATCTGAACGAGCAGCAGAAAGTTTTTGGCACGACTACGGCCGAAGGCGAGGGTGACCGACATATTGTCACACAACAGAAGCTGCCTCATATCACACACTCGCGAGCTAGTTACAACACGAATGAATCCTTTGACAAGAGCACGGGCCTCCTTCAGCAGAATTCCCTCAGAACGTTGCCACTTTTGCACTCTCACCAGTCGCCGCAAAACTGGCTTCAGAAGATTAGCGGGCACCTCGGGAAAAGACTGATCCACTTCCCAGTCTGACGCCTCCTCGGAAGCACCACTCTCTTCATCAAACCCTTCGGCGGCTGCGATTGCCCAGCTTCCGTCCGCCTGCCGACAGAAGCCTGCCGTCTCGAGGGCGCTCTCTCGAGCCCGATGGGAGCCCACTCGACGGAAGCGTTGGCGCTCAGAGGTGCGACCCACCTCGCGTACGGCCTGCAAAGGCCAGAGCGCCTGCGCCACCGCGTACCCCTCAAGGCTGCTGTCGGTCTGGACCACCAGGTGGTTCCAGCTTCGGAGCCAGTCACTGAACATGAAGATCACTAGCGACCTGAAGGCCTGTAATTCGGAGCGGCACTCGTCCCACAGCGGCTCCGCCCGTCCTGAGGCGCGGCCCCGCTCCACGAAGGCATACACCGAATGGAAGACACTGAGCAGGCCTCGGCAGCACAGGGCGGCAAACGCGCAGTGCCCCAAGACGACCTCGAGCGCCCGCGCGCTGGCCCGCCGGCGCCGCAGCAGCGCACCCAAAGCCTGGTATATGTTCCAGAATCACTTGGGCGTGACGCGCGTCCGCAGCGCCGCCCCGTCGAGCTCCGCGCCGAGCGCGACGATGCCGCCGTGTGAGCGCTCCGACTTGTGCAGCAGCAGCCCCTCGCGGTTGAAGCCCCCCTCCAGCTGCTCGAGCGCGTCGCCAACTGCGGCCTCGCAGACGCCTATCACTCCGAGGTTGTCGACATACTCGTAGTGGCTGAGCGCGTTGCATTCCTCCCCCAGGGCAGGTCTCACCACCAGCGGCGGTCCGCGATCGTGCAGAGGGGATCCAGGCAGAGAGGGTGCCACCTTGGTCACGGTGGTCTCGTTGATCATCTGAGCGATCCATAGACTCCAGGTGAAGCCCATGGGGAGCACAGCCCAGCGCGGTGTCACTGCCTCCGCGCGGCCAAGAACACGCCCGTTAACCTCCGCGCCCGCCGCGCCCATCACGTGAGCCGGCGCAGGAGGGAGGCAGAAATAGTCAGACAGCCAAGCTGGCACGCGCAACCTGCGGAAACAGTTCGAGACGTCCGAGAGGCCGATCGAGAGGCAGAAGTCCCCCAACAACTTTGCGGCCTGTTCGGACCCCAGCGGCGCGCTAGCGGGCAGCTTCACCTCTATTCTCGACAGACCCTCCGAACTCAGGAGCGACACCCCGGGCGGCGCCTGAAAGCACTCATTGGCCCGCCTGGCGTCGACGATCAGCCTCTGGGCTGCGCCGCCATCCTTCTCCACCGCGAAGAGACCCACATTGCACTTCGGGGAACTGGTCCAAGTAATGATGCCAATGTCCGCCAAACGACGGAGGAGCCGATGATATTCTTTCTGATTAAAACGTAGCTTGGGATCGAAGTAGGGGGCCGTCTCGTATTTCTCAACGGGCGGCGCCAGCATGCGCTCGCGATAGTCCTCCAGAAATCAAATCACCTCTGAGGGCGCCACGTCCGTGATCAGTGGACACCCTCGGACAGAGCCAGGGAGGCTCAGGAGGTCGAGCTTGAAGGACGTGACTCTTGTCGGACAACCCGCAGCCTGATATGGGGAATGTCCTTGCAGCAACTTCTCGAGGGCCGCCTCGTCGCTGAGAGGCGGAGGGCGCGGGTACCAGCTATCAACCAACTCACGCACCCTCCGCTGGACGTCCGCCTGCATGTCATCGGGCAGGCCGTCTGGGCCGCGATTCGCCCACAAAAACTCCTTCCAGCCTGCCATCCAGCTCAGTGCTTTCAGCGCGTCGTTCACCATCATAAGGCGATCACTGCCGCGCCCCGGGCGCACCGAATCCAACGGCACCAGAGGGGGCGGAAACAGGCTTCGCTGCCCCCGCGAGGCCGCCAGTCTGGGGCGGCCGCCAGCCCCCTGAAGCCGACCAGGGTCGGGGGACCCCCTGGCCGGCGGGGCCGTCATGGGCCCCAGGGGGTGTCGACACCGCGGCTTCGGCCTCTGCTGCCGTCACCGCGTCCGCGACCACCCCCGCCTCCCGTGCCCTCGCTTCCAGCGCCCCTGCCCGCGCTGCCGCCGCCGCCTGCGCCTGGGCCGCCTGCCAGCCCGCGAGAAGGGGCACCGCAACGGGCCTTCAAGTCCTCGCAGTCCTCGTGCAGCCTGCGTGCCACAAGGACCCACGCCACTGAGCCTGCAGCGACCTCGGTGGGCTGCACGTCAGCGTAGTACTTCGCCACCTCCCTCGGCACGACGTGCGGATGAGCGTGAGCCGCCACGAAGCTGACCAGTCGCTCACACAAAACTTCCAGCGCCGTCAGAGCACCCAGACTCACCTGGTCGCAGCCGTACGCCAGAGATCCTTCCTCGCATATACAACGTGACACGTGGGCGGCGCGATCCGTGGTGGCCACACCCATCTCTCGAAGGTACTCATCGAGCCACAACCGCGAATCGCCGCCCACCTCAACTGGCAGAGGCAGCACTCTGGCGGACACGGTGTCGTCCGAAAAGCCATGGCAGCCATCGTCCTGGAAGTACTCATCGCCGTCTGGCCCACCGATCCACCAAACGTCATCGCCGAGAAGATGGAGCAAGCTACTCTCGTGATCTACGCCGTCGCCGTCGTACTCCTCGGCCCCGTACTGGCCGAAAACCAGCTCACTGTACCACTCCACCTCCACGTCGAGCGGGAGGCGCGCCATGTCTAACCGCAGCGGATCGGCCTCGCACACAACAGCGGCCCACCACGACGCCCAAGAGGTTGGTGAGCACGGGCGGTAGTAGCACACCGCCTCCAGCCAGGCGGGCGAGCCCTCGGAATCGCCACCGCCCAGCACCGCGTCGGCGTCGGGCTGCGGCGGCGGGGGCGGCGGCCCGCCGACACCCAGCAGACCCTCGGGCAGCAGGCCGACCTCGGCTGCGCGCCAGCCAGCCCAGGCGAGGGCCACCGCGAGGACCGCGATCGGGGGCCGGCCGTCGGCAGGTCCCATGGGCGCCTCTGACGAGAGAAGAGAGGCTTGAGCATAGATTATGGCAACAAGGAGACATCACCCGAAGCAATACCCCTCAGCTTCCCGTGCAAGCACACACATACATGATACATACGTACGTACATCCATACATACATCCATACATACAATCATACATACATACCTACATACATACGTACACACATACACACACATGCACACGTACACACACATACACACATACACACATACACAAATGCACACATACACACATACACACATACACACATACATCTATACATACATACATACATACATACATACATACATACATACATACATACATATATTCACACATACATACATATATACATACAGACAGACAGACAGACAGCCAGACATACATACAGACATGCATACACATACATACGTACGTACGTACGCACATACATATATACATATATACAAATATCTGAATATTTGTATGTATCGGCCACCGTGGTAAACGGAGTGGGCGTGTTAGAATGCTTACTGTTCTCTGGAGGGGTTCTTACTTTTCTAGGGCCGACTCCCCCCCTACCCGCACGCGTTTTTCGCGGCGGTCTTTTCGGCCTCGAGACGGCCAAGATGCCGTCCCGGACGACTTCCGAGACAGCTACGATGACACCAAGACAGCCCAAGATGACCCAAGACGGCCGAGGACGCTCCCAAGACAGCCTCAAAACGGCCCAAGAGGCTCCAAAGACGGTCCAAGACAGCTCCAAGAGGCCAACCACGAGAGTCCGAGGAAGCAAAACATTGACTGTCCTTAGGAGTTTCCAGGTGGGCGTTTTCTTATTCGGCACGTCGACATTGGGCGGAGGGGGGGGTCTGGCTCCGGACCTCTGCTTAATGCGACTGTTTGCAACAGTGCGTCCTATGGGGGAGACTCCAATTGCCTGAAAGAGCCGCCAAAAAACAAAACATCTAAGAACAACCCCATGGGGGAGGGGGTGAGAGGGCTCGCGCAGATCGGCAAAACAATGAAAACGAGAACAATCACAAGGATTTTAAGGTTCTCGCCTGTTTGGGCTTCAGACCGCCCAAGACGGCCCAAGAGGCCTCCAATATAGCTCCAATACAGCGCATGAGTCCGCCCAAGAGGACCCCGACATCGCCCAAGAGCCTCCCAAGAGGGCCCAAAGACGGCCCTAAAGCGCTCCAAGGGGGCACCAAGACGGCCCCAAAGAGGCCGCAGAAGGCCCCAAAGACGCCCCCAAGAGGGCCCCCCAGGAGGCCCAGATGAGGCCCCAAGGAGGCCCCAAGAAGCTCCTCGTCCTCGTTTTCTCCCTTTTCTTCTCCTCCTCTTCTTCCTATTCCTCCTCCTCTTCGTCGTCGTCATCATCATCATCATCATCATCGTCGTCGTCGTCATCATCAGCATCATCAGCATCATCAGCATCAGCATCAGCATCAGCATCAGCATCAGCATCAGCATCATCAGAATCATCATCATCATCTTCCCTACCGCGCGGACAAAGACGATGTCGGGATCACGACCCTTCCCAATTCAGACCAATCGTTGAACTGCCGCAGGGTGTGAACTCGACCTCCTTCCAACCGCGCAGGCGAAGACGGGGTCGAGTTCACGACCCGTCCTTAACAAACCACTTGTTGGAATTGAACTGTTCCTACACTCAGTCTCCTTCCTGCAGCGCTGTTGCACAGTCACGGTGGCGGGTCTTCCGCAGGCAGCTGGATACATATATCGATTCCCCACACAGTGCTCGCACTTAGGGCACCTTACTTGTGTTCTGAGGAACTGGGCCTGTGCGTCGGCCTGGCGGCTATGTAGTCGCCGTCGCCACCCAGTCGCCGCCTTGTCGCCGACCATCGTCTGGGCCTGTGCGCCAGCCTGGCGGCTATGTATTCGCCGTCGCCGCCCCGTCGCCGCCTCGTCGCCGCCCGTCGTTTGGGCCTGGCTGCCGTGCTCGCCGTCGCCGCCCGGTCGCCGCCCGTTGATTGCACCGCATAGAACGCACAACAGAAATAGATGTATTCTCCGTCATAAACAAATAGGATCGACCACCAACACCCGACTTCGCGCCCCCCCAGGTGATGTGCAATTTGGATGTTTCTCCCGCAGCGCTTACTGCACATATGAGCGCATACAATATCCAACTCTGCCAGTGTCGACACCATGTCACCCTCGTCAAACAATGTTATGCGCGCACGTTCGTTTATCAAAAGACATCTGGGCCAAATACTCCCTCGCAAAAAAACCACGCATCAAAGTTCACACGCGCGCGTCGTCGCGCGCGCATGCCGGAATTGCTCAAACACCTTACGCTTCGCAAGGATACCCAACACCGAGGTTTATGAAAACATCTGTATATATATATATGTATATATATATATATATATATATATATCAGTAGGGTTGCAACGTGGCCTCTCAGAAAAGGAGAGAGCGCGTTCTTGCGAATTCGCAAGAAGACTGTTTGTGAAGATTGTATCATATGCGGTCACACGGACCTTTTGACGCGCGCGTGTCGAAGCCATTCAAACGCCC